GTGTTTGTTTGTTTGTTTGTTTAACAATACACTCAGCAAAATTACAGTCTGCAGTCTGTAAATAAGACCAGACAATCCAGTGATTGACATCAAGAGCATCGATCTACACAATTGGGATATGATGACATGTGTCAACCAACAGTGTATGAAATAAGCCAAAAACCCAGCCAGACATGAGGGCTGGTAACTTCAAAATGTTACCAGCCCAAAATGGGTTTAACCAGACCAGACACCAAGATACAGTGAATTTACTCAGATGTATGGAATATCTAAACAAAAAATTACCAGACCATCGGGCTGGCTAGCTGTAAATCTAGACCGTGCATCAGAAATCTAGCCCGTCTCGGGCGGTCGTACGGGCCTTATTTCATACACTGCAACCCAGTCAGCGAACCTGACCACTCGATCCTGTTGGTCACCTCTTAAGACAAGTATGGGTTGCTGAAGACCAAACCCAGATGTTCATGGGTATTTGCTGGTTTTATGAGACAAGTTCATTGATTGGTTGGTGAGGCTTGTAAACCTGGTTAGTCGTATCTCGGTGTACCTCTACTATGAGGATCATTTCTCAAGCTTACAATATCAAACACTGGATTGTTAGGTCCATAGGCAAATGTTTACAGATCATCATATAGCAGGGAATATTGGAAGTGCAGCATTAAACAACTAAGTGACACAAAGAAAATTGTAAGTTAGGATGGAGTAGAAGACGTTTGAAGATTAGGCCAGTGGTGTAGCCTAGTGGTTGAAGCGTTCACTCATCACACTGAAGACCTGGGTTCGATTCTCCACAGCGGTACAATGTGTGAAGCCCATTTCTGGTGTCCCCCTTTGTGTTATCGATGAATTGATGGAATATAGTCAAAAGCAGCATAGCAACCATTCTCACTTTTTCAGATAGGGTGTCTGGTGTATAGTCTATTTGCAGTGAAAACATACCGATGAATTTCACTTTAAACAAGAAACTAAATCAAATAAAGTGAAATGAAGATTGTGAATCCTCATAATCTTACCTTGCCAATTGAACTTTTAAATCTCAGAATTTTATTCAACTTAGGATAAAAGTTGTTTAACAAACGGTCATAGTTTCACATTCGCTATTATTGGTTTGTATTACAAGGGGCTATGCGCAGTAGTTGGAAAAGTGAAACAAATGCATGTGCTGTGCTTGAAGAGCGTTAACTTAGACTACTGTAGAAACCAACCCTGCTTGTTCTTGGGGTTTCATTTAATGTGCATACCCCCTTGTATTATAGGACAGGACAGCTATACCAATGATCAATTTTTTTGTGAAGCAGCAGATGAAAGTTATTTTCTCTTGAAACGTTCAGGTAACAATCCCATGGCAAAACAAGCTCATATATTCCTGGGTAGCACTACATCTGTCTCACAGCATTACAGGATTAATCTTAATCCATCTATTAACACTGTACTGTCCACAAGCTGAGAGGCCATTCCTCAAAGCTAAGTGAGTGGTAAGATGATTAACGTCTTTGACTAACAAGATTCATGACAACCATAAAGATCCTTTTGTGGAAGTTACTCAGATTCATGGCCTGTTTTCTGATCTGTGGCATATTTGTAGCATGGACAGAAATGTCCTGAAGAATTTGATCTTGTAAGCATGTCAAATTCAAACTTTAATTGAAGGTTGTACACATGGTGAGGGCATCAAGGGTTAAGAGCTTAAGGAGTAGAAGGTGCCGAAGGAGAATGATTGTAAATGGGTGTTGAAGGTGAATGATTGTAAATGGGTGTTGAAGGAGAATGATTGTAAATGGGTGTTGAAGGAGAATGATTGTAAGGGGTGTTGAAGGTGAATGATTGTAAGGGGTGTTGAAGGTGAATGATTGTAAAGTGTGTTGAAGGAGAATGATTGTAAAGGGTGTTGAAGGGGAATGATTGTAAAGGGTGCCGAAGGAGAATGATTGTAAAGGATGTTGAAGGAGAATGATTGTAAAGGGTGTTGAAGGAGAATGATTGTAAAGGATGTTGAAGGAGAATGATTGTAAAGGGTGTTGAAGGGGAATGATTGTAAAGGGTGTTGAAGGGGAATGATTGTAAAGGGTGTTGAAGGGGAATGATTGTAAAGGGTGCCGAAGGAGAATGATTGTAAAATGGGTGTTGAAGGAGAAATGATTGTGAAGGGGTGTTGAAGGGGAATGATTGTAAAGAGGTGTTGAAGGAGAATGATTGATTGTTAAAGGAATGTTGAAGGGGAATGATTGTAAAGGATGTTGAAGGAGAATGATTGTAAAGGGTGTTGAAGGAGAATGATTGTAAAGGGTGTTGAAGGGGAATGATTGTAAAGGGTGCCGAAGGAGAATGATTGTAAAGGATGTTGAAGGAGAATGATTGTAAAGGGTGTTGAAGGGGAATGATTGTAAAGGGTGTTGAAGGAGAATGATTATAAAGGGTGTTGAAGGGGAATGATTGTAAAGGGTGTTGAAGGGGAATGATTGGGGAATGATTGTAAAGGGTGTTGAAGGAGAATGATTGTAAAGGATGTTGATGGAGATTGCTTGTAAAGCGTGTTGAAGGAGAATGATTGTAAAGGGTGTTGGAAGGAGAATGATTGTAAAGGGTGCCGAAGGAGAATGATTGTAAAGGATGTTGATGGAGATTGATTGTAAAGCGTGTTGAAGGAGAATGATTGTAACGGTTGTTGAAGGAGGAAAAAGAGGCTGAAGACTGATGATTGTAAAGGGCATTCCGGGCCAAGATATTTAGAGAAGCAAAAGATTAGAGCATCGTGTCACATGATGGAATGACGTAATATGTACGTGATGTAAGTAGAATGTCAAGACAAAGGGGCAGAACATTCCAGCCATGACTTAGAACAATGCCACAGATTAGAGATTCACTGTGGATCTGAGTCAGAACCAGTAAAACCTTGGAAACATCTTGACCTGATGTCATTATGCCATGTCACCATGACCTCGTCAACACAGTAGGTCACAGTATTACCTGGCTCACAGTGCTGTTGTATCGTGGAACATATATGTATCCCTGTATCACATCATGTCTTTTGTACCAGGTCACAATATTCTCTAAAACGCACAAGGGCACCTAGTATCACCTCTCACTATACAGTTGTATGTATCATGGTACATATACACCATGGCAGGGCACAGTATTACACAGACCTGGTACTGTCCTATATATTGCCTTCCCGAGTACTGTGCTACGTATCATGTTACATATGTGTATCCTGTACCATGTCTTATTAAATTCTATAACATACAAGGGCACCTGGTATCACCTCTCTCCCAGTACTGTTGTATCATGGTACATATATGTATCCCTGTACCACATCACAATAATATCTATAACACAGGAGGGCACATTATTACTTGTCTCACAGTATTGTTGTATCATGGTACATATATGTATCCCTGTACCACATCACAATATTATCTTTAACACAGGAGGGCACAGTATTACCTGTCTCAAGGTACTGTTGTATCATGGTACATATATGTATCCCTGTACCATATCACAATATTATCTATAACACAGGAGGGCACAGTATTACCTGTTTCAAGGTACCGTGTATCATGGTACATATATATGTATCCTGTACCATGTCACCTCACCTTTAACACATAAAGGCATGAGTATTAACCAACCTCAGTACTGTGATACGTATCATGGTACATACATGTTCCATTGCTATGTATCATGGTACACATCCGTTTCTATGATACACGATGAAGAGACATAGGCTAGATTAACTTGCATGTACAGACATTCCTAACGTCCACAGTTGAGATTAACACCAACGTGGTGGCAGGTAATCTTATTCCCGCATAATTTTCTAATTTGTGTCTATTAATATTGAACCAAACTGACGATGTCATCAGTTTGAGTCAAAGTTTCGACCTCTGTAAGATGACATAGATTTAGACAACGTGTGAAGCCCATTTCTGGTGTCCACCGCCATGATATTGCTGGAATATTGCTAAAAGCGGCGTAAAACCGTACTCACTCACTCACTCATAGATTTAGGCTAATGGGATTGGATGGCCAGCTTGCTGACATGGTTGATGAAGCTCATCATATCCCAATAGCACAGATCGATGCTCACAATGTCGATCACCGGATTGTCCGGTTCAGACTCGATCAGTACAGACCGCTGTCATGTAGCTGTAATATTGCTGAATGCAGCATTGAACAACAAACACACAAACAACGATGCTCCAGTCAAAGGGTTCGCACCCACTGGCCCTCAGCAACCCATACTTGTCTTAAGAAGCAGACCCGTGAAGGTCCAGGTTAGAATGAAGCTTCAGTAACCCATGCTTGTCATAAGAGGCGACTAACGGCATCGGGTGGTCAGGCTCGCTGACTTGGTTGACACACGTCATCAGATCCCAATTGCCCAGATCGATGCTCATGTTGTTGATCACTGAATTGTCTGGTCCAGACTCGATTATTTACAGACCGCCGCCATATAGCTGGAATATTGCTGAGTGCAGCGTAAAACTAAACTCACTCACTCACTCACTCTTAAGAAGCAACTAGTGGGATTGTGTGGTCAGGCTTACTGACCTGGGGCCCGTTTCACAAAGCTCTCGTAGGCCTAAGATATCGTAACATTTGTACCTCCTATACTGTAACATAGGAGGTACAAATGCTACGAGATCTTAGGCTTACGAGAGCTTTGTGAAACGCGGCCCTGCTTGATGCATGTCATCGTATCCCATGTGTAGGTCAAGACTCCTAATGCAAATATCTGGATTGTCGATGTTTTACATATTTTACCATATAGCTGGAAAATTGCTCAGTATGGCATTTCAATACATACAAAACACTCTGTGCATGTTACATGTTAATATGTTTGAAGACAGTTAAGACTTAATTAAATTCTTTACTCTAAATGAATGTTTTGTGTACACAAATCAGTTCCATGTTGATTCTTCTATTTATATCAAATAACTGTGTTGAATGACTCTAAGGATGGAATGACCAATATTTGACCCATGTTTTTGTTTCGTCAGGCTTTCAGAATGCGGTCCTCCAAGTTCCGCCATGTTTTCGGCAAACCATTCCGTAAGGAGATGTGTTTTGAAAATATTCGCATCACAAAGAATGCTCATGATGGTTGCTTCTGTGCCGTCAACCCGAAGAACATCGCGGTCGTCACAGAGAGTGCAGGGGGCGGAGCCTTCATTGTACTTCCTGTCAATCAGGTGAGTTTAGACCAAGACCGACCAATGGAGGAGAAGGTGAGGTGGCAAGTGCATGGCATGAACGATCGTCATGGAAACAGAATATGTCAGGATCTTGATAATCTAGGGTGTTATATTCCGGTGGAATATATATCCTGGATGAATTCTCTGCCTCTAAAGTTCCAGGGAATTCAAGGCTATTCCCCAGCAATCCTTGTTTGTTGTAAAGATGACTAATGGGATCAGGTGGTCAGAATCGCATCATTGTATCCATGGTGGTGGTGGTGGTTGGTTTAACGTCGTGCTTGAGAATATTTCGCTCATATGACGACGTGCATGCGTGTGTATGTGTATGTGCGGCTGCTTGTACTAGCCCAGACTGAAGCTGGTTTTATAGTGCTAGCCCACTGAGATACCATGCCGCAGTGAAGCATGAATACCCCACTCAGACACATTATACTGACTCCGAGCCGACCAGTCCTTGTTGTACCCATTAATGCCGAGAGCCAGGCAGGGACCAACAAGTACCCTATTTTAACGTCTGTTGGTATGACGCAGTCAGTGATCGAACCCGCGACCTTCCGCTCTCCGGGCGGACGCTCTAACCACTACACCACGGATGCTCATAATATCAATCCCTGGATTGTCTGGTCCAGACTTATTCTTTACATGCATCATCAAACAGCTGGAATAAAGCTGGATGCAGTGTCAACAAAAAACAAACACAACCAGTGGACCGTGAAGGATGACTTCAGATCACATATGCTCCATGTTTACTGGGTATGAAAAAATCACAGGTCACCTCTGAGATTCATGTTGTCACAATATCAGTCACTGGATTGTTTGGTCCAGACTGTTTGCAGGCCGACCTATAGCTGGAATATTGCTGATAACAAACACTAACCTGTCTAGAGTTGAAAGAGTTGGGTCAATCTTCTACAATTAGGGTCATCGTCATGCACTTGTTCCATCACTGTACAGGTGTGTGTTACCTGTCTGTGGTCTTTGTCTGAACACATGGTGATTGTACAGGCTCCAGATAAGCTGCTGAACCCGAGAAATTTGAGTTTCTTAAGTCTTAGTCCAGAGGATAAGTGTAAACCTTTTATCACCAGTCCTCTGACCTTAAAGCTCAGGACCTGCTTCTAAAAGACAAACATGCTTACCATGTCTACATTGTCTGTTTTTATTCAGTTGCTTGCACCTTAATTAAGTACTGCGGACTGGTTCTGAATTAAAGCCTAAAAAATGCTACTAGTAAATGAGAGCTACAATCATTGCATTTTCACTAGCCCAGAGCAGGGCTACAGATAAGGGGCGTACAGGCATAATGTACGCCTCAAAATCAATTAAGTACGACATAATATAAGATTTCAAGCGTATCGTGTACGCACATAAATACCTTTGTACGTCTAACATTTAATTTCCGTGCGTATCGTGCAAATGGAAATCTATTTCGGATAAATACTTGTCAAGTTCTTTTGCGAAACACGATTTGACACGAGGAAACCCCGACAGTAGGAATCACAAGTGTTGCCATGCAACTATATGCGTCACTATTTTTCGATTGGCTAAAAACAACACTGTTCCTATTTATATCCAGTCTTGACCTGACATTTCGCGCATCCCACGGTCGCTCAGTTATTTGTCACGCGTCTTCAAATACAAATACATGGTTGGAAATAGTGATCGATGAATCGTCCAGACAAACCATATCACCAACTCACTCACACAAAAACATGTCAGTACTCCATCAAAATTCTCAGTACACTTCCACTTGCAATATGATGTGTAAGCACACTCGCACCCCCAAAAGTTATCTGGAGCCCTGCCAGAGGACAATTTAGGTTGTAGCTCTGAAATAGTTGTCTGTTTCAAGTTCAGGGAGCACACCGTGCCATGAAACAACATTCTTCTATCAAGCCTTGTGGCATGATGGTATTTACTATTGCAGGGAGGTCGAGTGGACATCAATATCCCCAAGGTTAGCGGTCACGCTGGCGCCATCTTGGACCTAAAGTGGAACCCCTTCGACAACCAGGTCATTGCCTCTGGATCAGACGACTCCACTGTAAGTATAGCTTTTGATCATCTCCGACACATGGCAAGATCATCTTGTGATGTACTCAGACACAGACAGACACAGACACTAAGTGCTAGAGGTCTTAAGACACCACAGTAAGATCAACACATTGTGTAAGTGCCAGTTATAGCATCTGTATGACAGCAGTAAGCCATAATTAGAACATGAGTATGGGTCATGTGACAGTCATGTGACAGCGAGAGGAGGCGATGCGAGCCACGGACAGTGGTGAGAGAGAGGTCGGCTGAAGCAGAAACCATGCTAGCGTTCAGGCATAGGGCTACACGGTTTTCAACCGTATTACAGCGTAATTTAAAGGTTTTGCATTGTAAATATGAGTTGTAACTGTAATGGGCCTGAATAAAGAAGTGGAACAACGTCCTGCGTTTGTGGATCCTACACATTGTGTACTCAGACACAGACAGACACTAAGTACTACATGTATTACAGTGTTGCGAATAGTGTCTGACCCTCTGACAAATCCGGCAGATTCGCCAACGGTCAGATGGAAGTCTACAACCCGCCGGCCCCAGTGTCCGACTGTATCTTTCGCAATGACTTTGACTGAAGTTGTTATATGTGACATGCCACACTTGTTTGCTGTTTATTTTATCTTAATTTTTCTTATGTTTGTTAATAATGTCAATGCCAATTATAAGAAATGTTAAATCTGAAATGTGTGTTTAATTTTATTCCATGGGTCCCGTGTATTTTCAATGGGTCAGACAGACATCTTAAACTTACAGGACCCAATGTCCTGTTACTTTGAAACACCATTCGTGAACACTGGTATTATGACGCCAGACTGTAAGATAACCTTGAGATGTCCACGCACACACACCAGCATCTTGGGTTGATGTCTCAGTTTGTGACAAACATAAACACAGTTGTAAGCAACACTGGATGTATGAGCAGGTTGCCAGCTTTTTAAAAAGTGTGCTCGTTCCGCGTAAGTAAACCTGGTGATCTGTTTCTAGGTGAAGATCTGGCAGATTCCCAATGAAGGTCTCTACGCCAACCTGAGTGAATGGCAGGTGGACCTGCACGGACATCAGCGACGGGTGGCTTACATTGAGTGGCATCCTACCGCCTCCAACATCCTGCTGTCTGCCGGATATGACTTCAAGGTAAGTGTCTGGCCGTCGTCAACTGAACTAGCTTCCAGTCAGTAGACCCCCTCCAACATCCTGCTGTCTGCCGGATATGACTTCAAGGTGGGTCTGGCCGTCGTCAACTGAACTAGCTTCCAGTTAGTATGACTTCAAGGTAACACAAGTTGCCTGCACGCTTTCAGCAATATTCCAGCAATATTATTGCAGTGGGGCATGAGAAATGGGCTTCACACATTGTGCCCATGTAGGGAATCAAACCCTGGTCTTCAGTATGGGGAACAAGTTCTTAACCACTAGGCTTACCCACCACCCATCATCAAAAATTTACAATGCAATCAAACAGTGTTGTGTTGAATTTTAGGTTGTAAAAGCTTGGTCCCTGTGTGTTCTGTATTTTGTCTTCCTTTGTTGTTGTGTCGAACCTGTTATAACTTGAAGTATTTTCATTTGTCCCATCAACCTCAACACAGTCTAGTGGTTAGTCTAGTGGTTAAAGTGTTTGGTCGTCGCGCCGAAAGATCTGGGTTCGATTCCCCACATGGGTACAATGGGTGCTGCCCATTCCTGGTGTCCCCGCCATGATATTGTTGGAATATTGCAAAAAGAAGTGTAAAAACATTCTCAGTCAACACACCAGTGTTTGATTGTATCATGAAAGGTGCTGTATTACTAATTGTGCCAGGGAGGTTGCTGCTGGTGACATTGACCATGACCTTGATTGTTTGTCTTCCACAGTGCTTCATCTGGAACGTTGAGCAGGCTGAGCCAGTGAATGTGATCGGTTGTCACACAGACACTATCTTCTCTATTGCTTGGAGCCGGGAGGGGTCCATGTTCGCCACGACCTGCAAGGACAAGAAACTACGTGTTATAGACCCAAGGTCAACCAATATCATCGCGGTAAGCTCACTTTCATTGTCAGTTTGATTGCCAGTAAGGTGGGAACAGGTGGCCAAGTTGGTCAAGTACTGCCATTCACTGTGCAGAGTTACTTCCCCTTATCAAGTTGCAGCCATTCACTGTGCAGAGTTACTTCTGCTTGGTGAGTTGCAGCCATTTACTGTGCAGAGTTACTTCCCCTTGGCAAGTTGCAGCCACTCACTGTGCAGCGTTACTTCCCCTTGGTGAGTTGCAGCCATTTACTGTGCAGAGTTACTTCCCCTTGGTGCACCAGAAATTGTGATTGTATCTGATAATGTTCCTGATTCTCCCTGATAATGTTTCCATGATTGTCTTCAACTGTGAGACAGCTCTTTATCAGAGGTGCTGTCATGCATGCACTACCATTGCAACTTGTGTCAGTGTTGTAGCTTTGCTGCAGATGTTATTCATTAGTTCTTCCTATTTGTTCGTTCATTCGTTTATTCATTTATTCATGCATTCATTCATTGATTCATTTCTAAATTCTTTATTCATTCTTTCTAAATATTCTTGATTCATTCCTTCTTTCCTTTGTTTATTCATTCATTCATTTCTAAATGTTATTGAATAGTTCCTTCTATCCTTTGTTTATTCATTCATTCATTCATTCATTCATTCATTCATTCATTCATTCATTCATTCATTCATTCATTCATTCATTCATTCATTCATTTATTTATTTATTTATTTATTTATTTATTTATTGACTTGTGCATGCTGAAAAAGAGTCCATTTGGCCTGTCAGAATCGTATGAGGGGTTAAATTCACTATTCCTTGTGTATTGTTTTGTAGGAAACGACAGGTCACATTGGCAACAAAGCATCCAAGGTGGTCTTCATGGAAGATTCCATGAGGCTGCTGACAACTGGCTTCTCCCGCCAGTGTGATCGACAGTTAGCATTGTGGGATATCGTGAGTACAACAAGCTGGAAATAAAGCAAACCCCACCCTTAACTGATTTTAGTAGTACTATGCTATAATTATCCCCTACAATGCATTTTGGGGGGATTATTAGAATGGACTTAGTCTGTCCGTCCATCCGTGCAAATTATGATTATGATGGGATATTTATATAACGCATATCCACGCAACTAGTAGTACATGCTCAAGGCGCTGGTATTTTTCCCTCTGTCGTTGGATGTCAATCTCAACAGCACATCCTATTATCAATCTCAACTCCCTAGGGAACATACAACTCTTGCAGTCACTAGGTCTTTTCCGGTGCAGGGCCTTGATTTTCGAAGCTCTCTTAGAGCTAAGATAGTCGTAAGTGCCATACTTTAACATACCTTACGACTCTCTTAGAGCTAAGAGGGCTTAGAAAATCTAGGCCCAGAACTTTAAAACCGTTCAATGTTTCTTCACAAAACTTGGCACATAGGTGGATCAATGAAGATCGTCCACCTTGCGAGCATACATAGTGTGCTGACTGAGTCCTGAGCTGAGATACTTGGACAGTGCTTGTTTTGAAAGAAAATTGCTATATACATTCCAAAACATTTGACATAGTCATAGCTAGTTGACATATTCAAGAGTATTTTACCTATGCGAGGGATATTGATTACTTTGTCTTCTTGTTAGTCTGACCAGTGAAGATCCGCGTTAGAATTGGTCTTCAGTAACCCATGCTTGTCATATGAGGCAACTAACGGGATCGGGTGGTTAGGGTCGCTGACTTGGTTGACAAATGTCATCATATCCCAATTGCGTAGATCAATGCTCATGTTGTTGATCACTAGATTGTCTGGTCCAGATTCGATTATGTACAGAACGGCGCCATATAGCTGGAATATTGCTGAGTGTGGCGTAAAACTAAACTCACTCACTCTTGTCAGCATATTTTCTGAGCATCATGTAAAATCATTGCAGTCAGACACTATTGTCTTCACCTCATGCAGCATGTTGCAGACATGAAAATGGGGTTATCTCCCCTGGTAGAGTACTAAAGTACTTCAAGTTGGGTTCATCTAAATTGTCCTTGAATTCCATAATATCCATCACAGCTCCACCTGAAATAGGAATGATGCGTGTTATTGTACCCTAAGAAAAGGGACACTGACAAGGAAAGAGGCATATTGATTCGGACAGCTAATAGGAACAGATTTTGATCTGAGAATTGTTTCGATACTTTCAGAGGAACATGTCAAGTGCACAGAGAATTGATGGCATCGACTGCTCCAATGGGGTGATCCAGCCTTACTACGACCCGGACGTACGGGTGGTGTTTCTGGCAGGGAAGGTAGGCAGTTGATGAGACAACAACAAATCTTGTTAGGAACCACTCAGATGAGAGACTAGTCTGTCATACAGACCCTGAAACAAATATCTCCAAGAAAGCCCATGAAAGTCTAGAATATTTGGCAAGTCTAGATTTCTATAGTTTCCAGTATTTCCGATCATTGTTGCTAGGGATGCCACGATACCTCGATACTTTTTCTAAGTTGATACAATTATTGATACATTTAAAACTGTATCGATATTTAGTTTTGAAAGTATCAGTTTAAATATGTTTATGTATCGTTTACATTTTGCAATTGTATCATGTTTTTTTATGTTATGAGAGTTATACATGATTATTTTTCATGCACAAAGATGAGAAATTAGGATTTTTAATCTCTGAGAATAAAAAATGTTGATCTTTTCATAGACAATTATAAAATATGAAATTTTAATGTTCAAAATGTAACTAAATTAACGCAATAATGCCGTGAAAATAGGTATCGTAATACGTATCGAATCGTGACATGGGTATCGTGATACGTATCGATTCATGAACCTTATGTACCGTGACATCCCTAGTTGTCACACCATGATGCAGGATGCTGAGTTCAAATAAATGTTTCAGGGGGACGGCAATATCAGGTACTACGAGATCACAGACGACTCATCGTACTTTCATTACTTGAGCGAGTACATGTCCTCGTCACCGCAGAAGGGAATTGGTAAATTTCATTTATTTTATTTTTTGTATTAAAATTTTTGGTACAAATTCACAATTTACAAGTCAAGGCTCATGTACATACTTCACTAGGAATCGGTAAGTTGGGGTGCCGTTGTTCAAAACAACCTTGGAGCTACGACTATCGTAAGTCTGTGTTAAAGTATAGGAGTTATGATCACCTTAGCGATACGACTGTCGTAAGTCTGTGTTAAAGTATAGGAGTTACGATCACCTAAGCACTACGACTGTCGTAAGTCTATGTTAAAGTATAGGAGTTACGATCACCTTAGCGTTACGACAGTCGTAAGTCTGTGTTAAAGTATAGGAGTTATGACCACCTTAACACTAAGATCGCTAAATTACTCAACGTAAGGTACCAATCCATTCTTGGAGTTCAATTTGGTGTTGACAGCAGTTCAAATCTGGCCACGAGAGCACTTGATATTTTTTACTACCAGATTGTTTATCCATATTAAACCTTGTGTGTGTTTTGTGCAGGTCGGATGCCGAAGGTAGGGTGTGACGTCACCAAGTGTGAGATACAGAGGTTCTACAAGATCCACGCTGCCAAGAACTTCCTGGAACCGGTGTCTATGATTGTTCCAAGAAAGGTCAGGGTCACTGTTGATCAGTGTAAAACGTATTCTTCAAGGGAAGGGCAGTGGGGTAGCCCTGTGGTTAAAGCGTTTGCTCATCACGCTGAAGGCCCATGTTCAGTACCCCCATTTGTTCAATTTCAGTCCTGGAGGTAAAAGAGGGATCAGTGGAGGCTTATAGTATTGAGAATGGTACAAGTAGTTGTAGGTGATGTCATTGTCATACTATATTGATTTTTATTAGTTGTTAAGAAAATACTTTTTTCAACTTTAATTGCGTTTCGGCATCCAACTTCCCATCAGATTGACAGTGACACATTGCCATTGTTACGATGACCTCAGGGTCATTTCGTCAAAAGGGGTGTTAATGCTTAACATGACAATGAACCCTGGATTGAAGCAGTGTTGCCAGGGTAACAACATCAGTGTTTGGCATTTCAGTAGTCATGTGGGCGGTGGGGTAGCCCAGTGGTTAAAGTGTTCGCTCGTCACACCGAAGACCCGGGTTCGATTCCCCACATGGGTACAATGTGTGAAGCCCATTTCTGGTGTCCCCCGTCGGGATGTTGCTGGAATATTACTGAAAAGCGGCATAAAACCATACTCACTCACTCACTCACTCACTCACTCAGTAGTCATGTTACCCACTGTGAATTTTGGGCTCTGTGACACATTGGGCAGACACACTAGAATAACTAGAGAGACCTAGTTGATCATTTAGGAGGAGGCTGGGAATGTGAAAAGATCTTTCTGTTCTGTAAATGTGAAAAGTTTGTCATGAAAATGTTTTCTTCTAGCAGAAAAATATATTTCTTCGAAACAAAACACCAGCATCCCCACCCCTAAGCCCACAAACAACCCACACACAAATCCCCCTCAGGTGAATTTCAATTTTCTTTGCTTTGTTACAGTCTGAGCAGTTCCAAGAAGACATTTTCCCCCCGACTGCCAGCACCATCCCCTCGCTGTCCGCGGACGAGTGGGTCAGTGGTCAGAACCGAGAGCCAATCCTGGTGTCCCTACAGGTAACCCTAGCTCACCTGACCGCTGGACGTGTTGTTGCTGTCGTAGTCTCACACTGTCGCCTACTGCTGAGAATATCGGGAGGAAGCTCTTTAAGGCATCTTTCTTCTGCTCAGTTTCGCCATGCTGTTTGCATAAACCATGCAGTAGTGTAGAACATACGCAATTTACCTGCCAGAATAGTGAGAGTATAAGTGGCTTATCTGCTTATAGTTTAGAGCCAAATTCTTTCCATGTTATGTTAAAAAAGTGTTAATAAGTATTTGGAAGCCTATTGCAGAAGAAAATAATTTATAAAAATATTTTATATAATGTATTTATATACATTTAAATATTTCGTTCCTTATGATGTTTTGTTGTGTTGGGGTAACCCTCAGTTTTATCCACTTTGTACAAGTTTATTACTTTAAGGGTTACTAAAACATGTTCCTGAATATATATCTACCTTATATGACTTGAAACATACTGAATTTCGAAGTTGAGATGCTTTTGACAGAGAAATCACATAATAAATTATGTATGGACAGTTGTTCAGATTTAGAAACCAGACTACAGGAGCAGATTAATTCAGAGTGTTGGGTGTGCTTATATATGCAGTAAACCAGTATCAAGAGAGTATTTATCTACTCTTCAATTAGTTCAGTAAATGGTTACCTCTTTTCAAATAGATACTTACAGACCACCACCAAACAGCTGGAATATGACTGAGTACGGCATAAAACTAAACTCACTCACTATCAATTGAAGCAGACAGTACTTACTTCCCCTTCCAGAGAGTTATCTCCCTTTCATTGTGTAGCGACCTTCCTTTAGAGTGATGCAGAAAGTAGTTACCTCCCTTTATTCTCAAGTATATTTTCTTCTGACTTGTTTTGGTGCTAAGGGTAGTATTAATACTTCATGTTGGTATCAATTGATATGTAAGATATGATTTGTTTTTGTAAGTGAAGATAGGTTTTCTATGTGATTTGTTCACATATAATTAAGTTTGTTTCAGTAAATTCACATTTAAGTAATGTTCTTATTTTTTAATATGAACTATTTTGGTACAATTTTGTTCTTTTACTGAATCAGTGATATTTAGTATATCCCTCACCAGATCTTAAACCTTCCTCTGACAGTTATTGTCAATAACTGTGAAAATGTTTTCTTTTCATTTGGGTTATGAATTATTAACTTTTTGGAAATAGTCCTTCACTTTCTCCTCTTTATTTTGTCCCTTCCTATTTTGATGTGCATGAAAGTAACTGTAAATAGGTGAGGGACACTGGTGTCCCAAAATGCGAATTACGTACCGACGATGCCAATTAAAAGTCCTTGGTAGAATGGTCCCGAATATCCCTGGATTGTCTATCTGAGAATTCTACCAGACTAGAATAGGTCCCCAGTACCCCATTCTTGTCTCCCATGAGAATTCCACACTAGAATAGGTCCCTAGTACCCCATTCTTGTCTCCCATGAGAATTCCACACTAGAATAGGTCCCAGTCCCTCAGTACTCCGTGCTTGTCTTCCATGAGAATTCCACACTAGAATAGGTCCCCAGTACCCCATGCTTGTCTCCCATGAGAATTCCACACTAGAATAGGTCCCCAGTACCCCATGCTTGTCTCACATGGGAATTCCACACTAGAACAGGTCCCCAGTACCCCATGCTTGTCTCCCACAAGAATTCCACACTAGAACAGGTCCCCAGTACCCCATGAGAATTCCACACTAGAATAGGTCCCCAGTACTCCGTGCTTGTCTTCCATGAGAATTCCACACTAGAATAGGTCCCCAGTACCCCATGCTTGTCTCCCACAAGAATTCCACACTAGAATAGGTCCCCAGTACCCCATGCTTGCTTGTCTCCACACTAGAACAGGTCCCCAGTACCCCATGCTTGTCTCACAGAAGAATTCCACACTAGAATAGGTCCCCAGTACCCCATGCCCATGAGAATTCCACACTTGTCCCCAGTACCCCATGCTTGTCTCCCACAAGAATTCCACACTAGAATAGGTCCCCAGTACCCCATGCTTGTCTCCCACAAGAATTCCACACTAGAACAGGTCCCCAGTACCCCATGCTTGTCTCCCACAAGAATTCCACACTAGAATAGGTCCCCAGTACCCCATGCTTGTCTCCCACAAGAATTCCACACTAGAATAGGTCCCAGTACCCCATGCTTGTCTCCCACAAGAGTACCCCATGCTTGTCTCCCACAAGAATTCCACATAGAATAGGGTCCCAGTACCCCATGCTTGTCTCCCACAAGAATTCCACACTAGAAATAGTACCCCATGCTTGTCCCCAGTACCCCATGCTTGTCTCCCACAAGAATTCCCACACTAGAACTAGAATAGGTCCCCAGTACCCCATGCTTGTCTCCCACAAGAATTCCACACTAGAATAGGTCCCCAGTACCCCATGCTTGTCTCCCACAAGAATTCCACACTAGAATAGGTCCCCAGTACCCCACTCAGTACCCCATGCACTAGAATAGGTCCCCAGTACCCCATGCTTGTCTCCCACAAGAATTCCACACTAGAATAGGTCCCCAGTACCCCATGCTTGTCTCCCACAAGAATTCCACACTAGAACAGGTCCACAGTATTCCCATGCTTGAAGAATTCCACACTAGAATAGGTCCCCAGTACCCCATGCTTGTCTCCCACAAGAATTCCACACTAGAATAGGTCCCCAGTACCCATGCTTGTCTCTCCCACAAGAATTCCACACTGCTTGTCTCCCACAAGAATTCCACACTAGAATAGGTCCCCAGTACCCCATGCTTGTCTCCCACAAGAATTCCACACTAGAATAGGTCCCCAGTACCCCATGCTTGTCTCCCACAAGAATTCCACACTAGAATAGGTCCCCAGTACCCCATGCTTGTCTCCCACAAGAATTCCACACTAGAATAGGTCCCCAGTACCCCATGCTTGTCTCCCACAAGAATTCCACACTAGAACAGGTCCCCAGTACCCCATGCTTGTCTCCCACAAGAATTCCACACTAGAATAGGTCCCCAGTACCCCATGCTTGTCTCCCACAAGAATTCCACACTAGAATAGGGAACCCCATGGTCTCCCAGTAGGTCCCCAGTACCCCATGCTTGTCTCCCACAAGAATTCCACACTAGTATAGGTCCCCAGTACCCCATGCTTGTCTCCCATGAGAATTCCACACTAGAATAGGTCCCCAGTACCCCATGCTTGTCTCCCCCCACAAGAACAGGTCCCCAGTACCCCATGCTTGTCTAGAATTCCACACTAGAACAGGTCCCCAGTACCCCATGCTTGTCTCCCACAAGACTTCCACACTAGAACAGGTCCCCAGTACCCCATGCTTGTCTCCCATGAGAATTCCACACTAGAATAGGTCCCCAGTACCCCATGCTTGTCTCCCACAAGAATTCCACACTAGAATAGGTCCAGATAGAAGACTCTTGTCTGCATTCCCTCATCTCAAGTTAGACCATTGGTCTATTTCTCAAATGGACACATCGTTCGCTCGTCACACCGAAGACCTGGATTCAATTCTGCACATGGGTACAATATGTGAAGCCCATTTGTTATGTGCTCCACCCAGCCCACCCCACCCCACCCTCCCCCATGATATTGCTGGAATATTGATAAAAGTGGCATAAAAACCATCTCACTCACTCACTCAAACTCAGCAATGCATGTGCGTTATGCTTGAATGATTCCATTCTTTTATTTAAGACATAACAACGATATGATTCTATGAACCTCGTGAAATTTTTCATTTTGAAATTTTGTGCCTTTCATTAGCATTTAATTTTTTCAGTCTTACAAATGTTTTACATTAGAGAAACAGTTGACATACTGCTAGCATGTCAGCATGTTTATTTTAGATAGTTTCCCACATAGCTGACAGTGCATGGTGTTAATGTGATATTAGTTTCCTGTAGACTGTTTCTGTTTTATTTTGTGTTGGAAATTTAGTTCTGAGATTTGGTGTGCTGTGTTTGACTTAACATGGTGAGGGATTTAAAGCTTTGTTTCAGTGTTTCATTTCATTGCTGTGTTTCATTGCCATGTTTCATTGTTTCAGCTACATGTGAGACTTTGTGTGACACTCCACAACATTCATTTATGTTGACAAAGCATTTCATGGTCGTAGAGAGAGGGCGGTTGGGTAGTCTAGTGGTTAAAGCGTTGGCTCGTCACGCCGAAGACCCGGGTTCGAATCCCCACATGGGTTCAATGTATGAAGCCCATTTCTGGGGTCCCCTGTAGTGATGTTGCTGGAATATTGCTAAAAGCGGCGTAAAACCAAACTCAGTCAGTCATGGTCATAGAGCAGAGCCCTTTTTGGCAGTGCTGCCTCAGCTCTTCGGCTGACAATTCCTGATTGTCTAAACCGTGTCAAATTCACTGTTCAGAGTTGCATCCCTTGGGTACGCAGGAACCCATAAACATAGGTTTGAATCCTGGCTGATCATGATCATGTCACTAGGTTGGTCAGCATCATACCTTTGCTCTTGGGGTTTACCAAACTTGTAAGCAAAATTTAGACTGGCATCATTTTGGGCTTTCTTTCCAAATTAAGCTGGCACACTTGATATAACTGGAATGCTGTCCAAAACAGGGGAAAACTCAACTCACTCACTTATAAATGATCATGGAAACTTTGTATGAAAAAGGGGCGGTGGGGTAGCCTAGTGGTTAAAGCGTTGGCTCGTCACGCCGAAGACCCGGGTTCGATTCCCCACATGGGCACAATGTGTTAAGCCCATTTCTGGTGTCCCCCGCCGTGATATTGCTGGAATATTGCTAAAAGCGGCGTAAAACTAAACTCAGTCAGTCAGTTGTATGAAAAATATTGGGGCTTAATCAGTCAGAAGGTATCGTTTCAGGATCAACAAGGTCTCTTTTTACATATTTATTTAATATTACTGAAGTCAAACATTAAAAGGAGCGCTATAGACTACAGGTTAAATGGGTCATGCTGAAGACCCAGGTTCAACTCTAAACATGGTTACAATGTGTGAAGACTATTTTTGGTATCCCCTTTCGTGATATTACTGAAATATTGCTGAAAGTGGCATAAAACTATACTCACTCTCCAAACCATCTATATGCTTTGTCAACTGAGTTTTGCATGTGTGTCATTTAGTCTTTCTTTCTCTCGCTCTGTCTCTCTGTCTCTCTGTCTGAGCGTCTCACTCTGTTTGTTTGGTTCATCAGGACGGCACAGTTACAAATACACCAAAAGTGTCAACGTCTAGGCCCGTACAACGACAGGTAACTTTCTTATCCTTGTTAAGGGCAGGGTAGCACACTCACTCATCCATGTTTGGGGCCAAATTTTGGCATTGGGACAAAATCCCGTTATGCTTATATCTCGTATGAAATAAATGATTATTTTTGGACCAATTAAAAATGTGTCGAATTTCAGCTACCTTTATGGTGTGAGTCAAAATATGTGAATAGTGCAAGACTATCTGAAGTGAGATAAATGTTTTTCTATATTTTGCTGACTCAGCAAAATATTTGATGAATGCGGATAATATCAGAACTTCTATTTGTACACACTATGGAACTGGGTTCCGCCATCACTAGAGTTGGCTATAAAGAAATACTGATAAGGATATTGAAACCTATAAATTTGCACACACAAAAAATGACTTATTTTAAACAGCTGTAGGACAAGACAAAAAAATGGAATTGGCATTTAATTTTTCCTTAAGTTGTTACATTTAAGGGGTATATATATATTTCTTCATTAATTGTAAGTCCTTAATGCTTTACTTCATAAATATTTTGTAGTTATGAACTACAAAAATGTAATGCAAAATATTCTGTATTACACCAGTGTACGGTATATTTGGATATTCTAATGTTTGGTATATTTGGTTATTCCAATGTTTGGTATATTTGGATATTCCAGTGTTTGGTATATTTTGATATTCTAATGTTTGGTATATTTGGATATTCCAATGTTTGGTATATTTTAATATTCCAGTGTTGGGTATATTTGGATATTCCAATGTTTGTACATTTGGATATTCCAGTGTTTGGTATATTGGGATATTCTAATGTTTGGTATATTTTAATATTCCAATGTTTGGTATATTTTAATATTCCAGTGTTTTTGGTATATTTGGATATTCCAGTGTTTGGTATATTTTAATATTCCAGTGTTTGGTATATCTTTATATTTCAATGTTTGGTATGTTTTGATATTACGGGGCCGTAGGGTAGCCTAATAGTTTAGGTGTTTGCTCGTCACGCCAAAGACCTGCGTTCGATTCCCCACATGGGTACAATATGTGAAGCCCATTTCTGGTGTCCCCCGCCGTGATATTGTTGGAATATTGCTAAAAGCGGCATAAAACCCAACTCACTCACTCACTATATTGATATTACAGTGTTCGGGATATTTTAATATTCCAATATTTGGTATATTTTAATATTCCAGTGTTCGGTATATTTTAATATTCCAATATTTGGTATATTTTAATATTCCAGTGTTCGGTATATTTTAATATTCCAGTGTTATTTATTTCAATGTTGTTGGTGTTTGTTGCTTCGACCCCATTCACTTCCTGATTCCCCATATTATTATACCACCCACCTGCACCTATACCTCTAACACACAACAATAACATTCCAGGGGATACAACACAAGTGTCTTCATTTTCAGCTGTATTAACTGGCCTTGAGACATGTATTCTTGATAACCCATTGCTCTGTCACAGTTAGCTGTTTGAAGCATGAGTCCCCATACAGGTCAGACATGACCTCCAATAGTGCTGGAGATACTGATCCAATAATCGGTCAATCTGTCAATTGCATCAGAGATTATCGATGGGCTCGGGAGAGTAATCAATGTTTCAAAAAATGAAGCATCATTCAATATTTGGCAAGCATATTTCTTATGCTTCAGGGATTTACCTGGAGTCCTGTATTTGAGGGTCCCTTGGACTCATAGTCTTAATTTTCAGGGGTCATGGACAATAAAATGGGGGTCCCAGACACTTATATATTATGATTAATACTGTTATTGTATTGTGTATCATGATCATCGCATTGTTACAGTAATTAAATTGCAAATAATACCATAACCCAGCTAGTAGCAAACGCAGTGATAACTTATTGTCACTTGATTGGAATTTTTACAAAAAGTATATGGAATTTTTCAGAGTCCCTGTGGACGCGCTAATAAATTTTGTTGTGTCCATTGTCAATTTTTATGCATATAGGATGCAGGAATTCGCATCGTGTAAATCCCTGTGCTTGTTAAATCAAGACAAATCAGAATATGTAAATGCTGCTCCTAAACATTATCTTATAAAGAAATAGTTTATAAATACATCTGAGGAAATAGCAAATTCAATAATTTCAAACTAAGTACAGCATATGATACCACACTTTATGGAAAACGGTTGGTGTCATTCAAGAAAAATAAACCGATTTTATTATCAATTCGTTTTTATACTGAGACCATGATTCATAGCCACTTAGAATAGCATGTAAACTTATAGTATTTTGAAGGAAGTATTTATCAAATCTAAACCTGTCATATAGAGGACACTGAAGGAAATAATGGAGAGGATCCTCTCGGGTGTTTCCACAGGAGCAGGTTCGGCTGTCTGACAAACATCTATCAAACAAGTGGGGGTTAAGATCACTGCAGCCCTGGCGCAAACAGCAGAGAAGAATTTGACCTCGCTTGGGACCATACAATATAATTTTTAAATGTTAGGGATAATGTCTTGTCACAAGATATACATTTCTTAAATTGTGATAATGATTCAACATTTGTAATATTTATCAGCGGGCTTGGGGGACTACTTGATATTAAAAACATGAAACAAATGAAAAAATGAGAATCATTTTCGAAAGTGTATTTCTTATTGTTATGGTTGTTGAATGAAGACGTAAACAACTGGTGCAGTTTCCTGACTTGTAGAACTGTAATGTAAACAGCACATGTCTCAACAGGAAGCATACTCAAATGTCTTCATCGTAGTTTAAATAGGTGGCTGGGTTTTTTTTGCACAATGTAAAAATGAAGGTGACTTCCCATTTCAAGTTACAGACTATGTGGATGTGATCAGTTATGTCTAACACTCACGCCTACCAAGGAAAACTTTCCCACTGTGCAGAAAAACACAGAAAAACCGCAACAAAAGACTATGAAACTGCAACATTTTATACCACCGAACTTTGACCTCAACTGCGCTGCGCGTTATACGATCCAAGCTTCTTTAAAATTTCCGAGCAACCGTGAATCGCTTCACACAGAAAAACTATTGAATATGTTGAAAGAATTGCTGTCAATAATTTCATTTGACTGGAAAGTAAACTAAAGAAGTGTGCACACAAGTATGATGATAAATGCCAAATAACACAACAGAAATACTTTAAAAAGTGAATCTAACTTTGTCCAAGCGATGGAGGCTTCCTCTTCCATGTGCGCATGCGCAATATCAAAGCTGCAGGCTCTTTGTTTTTTTATCCACTTTTAGCGGTTTAAAGTTGCCGCTTTTACTGTTTACATAGAGAGGTAATATGTTTATGTTGCTATTTCCACGATTAATGTGGGCTTTTCTGCGTTTTGCTGCACAGTGGGAAAGTTTTCTTTGGTAGGCCTGACACTGTTGTTTGAAACTAGGAGATGAGCCTATTCTCTGTCGATGGTTCACCATTTATTGAGCATGTTACGATGACACCTCATGCTTTGAGAGGTGTTTCATCAAAGACTAGCTAACCCCAAATTTATGAAGACATCAAATGTATCTCAATTCTACCATGACTAAAATGTGTTTTAAACGAGATCCTCTTTCATGCACACATATTCAGTGCATTGATGCTGTCAGAAGTGATCATTGCTTATCAACCACTTCAAATTTAGTGAAATTAGCAAGTTAATTAATTACATCATCCTTCAAAGTCATGGTAGAATGGACAATAAACTGCATGGTAATCGGAGACTCTAGTTGGTCGATCCAATTTTGTATGTTATTCCCTATAAACTGTATATTCTCAGCCTGATATTGCTACTCTTCTTTCCTGTTTTCTGATCATATTCTCCTTACAGCTTATTTTCAAGCCTCATACCATCTCCTTATACTATCTTCCAACAACAGCTGCTCTATAGCTCTAGATTTCTCTTCATCAAGCACAAAACTTCCTTCTGCGTAATGGTGGGAGATGAATGAGCATGAGGATTTGTCTCCCAGTTGAAGAAGGGATGTCCTAAATTAGTTTTGCATGTGTGCTTTTCTGTGCAGGTGTGCAAGAATGTTTGAAATACCTTTACTCAAAAATTGCCATTGAACTTGTCAAAATACTACTTTCCCAAAACATCTTCTCTGCCAGTCGTCTTCTCCCCAGCTGTAAATAGTAGATACACTGACTAACCAACTATTGTTTGAGTTATGATAGTACAATAGGAGATACCCCAGACTAACCAACTATTGTTTGAGTTATGATAGTACAATAGGAGATACACCAGACTAACCAACTATTGTTTGAGTTATGATAGTACAATAGGAGATACACCAGACTAACCAACTATTGTTTGAGTTATGATAGTACAATAGGAGATACACCAGACTAACCAACTATTGTTCAAGTTATGATAGTACAATAGGAGGTACACCAGACTAACCAACTATTGTTATAAGTTATGATAGTACAATAGGAGATACACCAGACTAACCAACTATTGTTTAAGTTATGATAGTACAATAGGAGATACACCAGACTAACCAACTATTGTTTGAGTTATGATAGTACAATAGGAGATACACCAGACTAACCAACTATTGTTTAAGTTATGATAGTACAATAGGAGATACACCAGACTAACCAACTATTGTTTGAGTTATGATAGTACAATAGGAGATACACCAGACTAACCAACTATTGTTTAAGTTATGATAGTACAATAGGAGATACACCAGACTAACCAACTATTGTTTGAGTTATGATAGTACTAACCAACTATTGTTTGAGTTATGATAGTACAATAGGAGATACACCAGACTAACCAACTATTGTTTGAGTTATGATATTGTTTACAATAGGAGATACACCAGACTAACCAACTATTGTTTGTTATGATAGTACAATGGGAGTACACCAGACTAACCAACTATTGTTTAAGTTATGATATGATACAATGGGAGATATACAATAGGAGATACACCAGAGTTATAAGTTAGTACAATAGGAGATACACCAGACTAACCAACTATTGTTTAAGTTATGATAGTACAATAGGAGATACACCAGACTAACCAACTATTGTTTAAGTTATGATAGTACAATAGGAGATACACCAGACTAACCAAATTATTGTTTGATAGTTATGATACACCAGACTAACAATATTGGAGTTATGATACAATAGGAGATACCAGTCTAACCAACTATTGTTCGAGTTATGATAGTACAATAGGAGATACACCAGACTAACCAACTATTGTTTGAGTTATGATAGTACAATGATACACCAGACTAACAATAGGAGATACACCAGACTAACCACCACTATTGTTTGAGTTATGATAGTACAATAGGAGATACACCAGACTAACCAACTATTGTTTGTTTGATAGTTACCAGATATTGTACAATTATGATAGGGAACTTTGAAATTGAAATTGTCAATAGTGTTGTCATTAGTATGCTTGACAGTCAATAGTTGTAATTAGTTCAAAATAGTGCATATATCATTTTCCTTTCAATCCTACGTGTGTCCCTTGTCAGCCAGACATATCGCTGGAATATTGCTGAGTGCGGCATTAAACAACAAACAAAATAAAAAAACACATTTGTCAGCAAGGAGCCATAATTTCAGATTAGAGTTACCTCCCTTGCTTTTAGCAGCAACAGGGTGGAGAATGGCCGTCTTCAGATTATCAGCAGTATTACAGTGTTGCCTAGTGGTTAATGCGTTAAAGACCCGGGTTCGATCCCCCACATGGGTAAAATGTGTTAAGCCCATTTCTGATGTCTCCATCCATTATATTGCTGGAATATTGCCAAAAGCGGCGTAAAACTATCCTCACTCACTCGTAAGTAGTGAGTATGGACGAGTATGAATATAATGTCAAATGTCCAGTAAAGCAAGACTTACTACAAACAAGGCCAGTGAAGTTTACCCTTGTCCCCCAATTAGTCTTAAAATTATTTTTAGTCTTGATTGCCTATATACTAGTTACTTGTAATGAACTCATAAACATATGTAACCCCTGTTATCAAAGTCAGTCATACTAATTTATTTGAACATTATTAATATCATATAATACTTGGTCGAAAAACACTTATCAGATGTTATGAGTAGTTGTCACATAGTTAGTAGCTAGGTGGCGGTACAGCCTGTGTTTCATGTTGCTATCTCCCATAATGCATCTGCTCACAGCATGGCCTGGTTACAGCTGATCATCTTTCATACTTGCATGAAGGAAAGCCAATTATAGCTTTTATATTTTGTTCATGACGCCTAATCATTTATATATTTCCATGCTGCAAACCTATTTAAATTTTTTCCAACCAGATTTTGTAAACAATCAGTAAATTTGTTAAATATTACAAGTCGCAGTGGTTGTCATTTCACTGTGCTGAGTTGTGTGTCCCTCGCCGTGATACTGCTGGAATATTGCTAAAAGCGGTGTAAAACCCAACTCACTCACGCATTCACTGAGTTGCGTCCCTTACACACAGCAGGATCTAGTAATGATGGGTTTGAATATTGACTTTGCCCTGATTATTGCTCTTTTTGTCAGCTCCAGACCTTTGGTGAGGTGAGGTGAAATTGGGTTTAACGTCGTGCTTGAGAATATTTCGCTCATATGACGACGTGCATGCGTGTGTATGTGTATGTGCGGCTGCTTGTACTAGCCCAGACTGAAGCTGGTTTTATAGTGCTAGCCCACTGAGATACCACGCCGCAGTGAAGCATGAATACCCAACTCAGACACATTATACTGACTCCGAGCCGACCAGTCCTTGTTGTACCCATTAATGCCGAGTGCCAGGCAGGGACCAACAAGTACCATATTTTAACGTCTTTTGGTATGACGCGGTCGGGGATCGAACCCGCGACCTTCCGCTCTCCGGGCTGACGCTCTAACCACTACACCACGGAGGCGGTCTCAAGACCTTTACTCATAACTGTTGAGACGGTCAAAGCCCTTCCTCTTATGTCAGAGGAAGTGGGTAGCCAAGAGGTTAAAGCGTTCACTCATCAAACCGAAGTTCTTGGTTTGATTCCACACATGGTTACAGTGTGTGACGGTCATTTGCCTCTGGACTATTACTAAAAGCGGCGTAGATCTATACTCACTCACTCACTCCTAAACGAAGCTGATGTGTTGTGATGAAACTGCAATATTGTTCAAGCAGCATGAATACAAATTACCAAACCAAATATGATGTAAAAAGCATGAATATACTCATTTTGTAGGTACTGGTTTCAGGGATTTAACACAAAATATTAACTTTTTGTAAAGCATTGATATCAGATGTATTAGGGATAAGCAATACAAATGTTTCCAGTATCATCCTTGATCGTGCAGGGTGTTTTATTGTCATTCTGTTAAGATAAGACCCATGACATGTATGACAGCCTCGTTTTGAATCTACGTTAAGCCTTACTCTTGAAGTACTACCATGAGTGTGTGTTTGTGTTCCAGGACGGTGCCATGCAGGCCAACCCGGTCATAACAACTTACACAGCCGTCACTCGCCAAGGCGGAAGCAATCGACCAATCAAACGTGCCAACACAATTGCCTCCTCGACTGTCCCAAATAACGTCCCAGCAGCGGAACCAGCGTCTCTTAAAAACATCAAACGCCTGAGCATAAATGAAGACATTGTTACAATAGAGTGAGTTCTACCTATGGGGGTTTTAATCTGAAACATCTTTGCCATTCCAAAATCTTCACTCATTTGTTTGTGTGGGTGCCGTTGTACAAAACAACCTTAGCGCTAAGACTAACTTAAGTCTATGTTCAGGTATGGGAGTTACGGTCACCTAAGCGCTAAGCCTACCTTAAGTCTATGTTCAGGTATGGGAGTTACGGTCACCTTAGCGCTAAGACTACCTTAAGTCTATGTTCAGGTATGGGAGTTACGGTCACCTTTAGCTAAGACTACCTTAAGTCTATGTTCAGGTATGGGAGTTACGGTCACCTTAGCGCTAAGACTACCTTAAGTCTATGTTCAGGTATGGGAGTTACGGTCACCTTAGCGCTAAGACTACCTTAAGTCTATGTTCAGGTATGGGAGTTACAGTCACCTTAGTGCTAAGACTACCTTAAGTCTATGTTCAGGTATGGGAGTTACGGTCACCTTAGCGCTAAGACTACCTTAAGTCTATGTTCAGGTATGGGAGTTACGGTCACCTTAGCACTAAGACTACCTTAAGTCTATATTCAGGTATGGGAGTTACGGTCACCTTTGAGCTAAGATCGCTTTGTACAACGGCACCCTGGCCCAGATTCTACACTGGCCTATTATTGGTTTAAAACAACTGACTGAGTCATAGCACAAACTGTGCCCACTGGTGTGTTGGTAGGTCCTGATCTCAGCCAGTCATAGCCACATATTATTTCCCTTCTTCCAAGTCGAGATTTTCTAAATATTATTTTCCCTTTCTCCCAGCCCTTACTGTAATGTTATGGCCCTAAATGAAGGAAGTCTAGATTTGCCACATTCCATAAACGATATTATTTTCCCTTCCACCCAGCCCTTACAATAATGCTTTAAGCCTTAATGAAACAATTCAAGATTCCCACAGCTTATGAATCTCCCATCTCAGTGACACTCCTTTTCAAATCAAATTGAGTAAAATTAAATAATCAAAATTAAATGGAGACTTTAAAAAAGACTAAATATTTCTGGCAAATAAGAATAAGATGAACCGGCGCAGAGAACACGTTTATGAGAAGTAGGCGGTGCACCGAAATGAGCAAACCCATTTGGTTTGTGAAAGGTAGAGTGAGTGAGTGAGTTAATATTTAACGTCACATCGGCAATATTTCAGCCATATCATGAAAGGTAGAGCAGATGTAGGCTAGTGCACGGGCATTACTTGACGATGAAATTGATTCCGCGAGTAGCTGCACATGCCTTGCTCATAAAACTCACGTCGGTGTAGCAAGGCGCACTACACTTGATCAAGGACAACCTGGGACCCCTTCGTTAACAATGGCATGCGCCAGTGGGCGGCACTCATACATGCTAACACGGGTCAATTGTCAGGTCGGTGCTCAACTTATCCTTGTTTGCCAGTAGTCTTCTACCGATCTAACACAACTAACTAGCAATGCATTGAGAACTTAAATGAAAATGGCAGCGAAAGATACATTTGTTTTAATTTCTAGGTTGACGTTTACAAATAAATTTCCATATTTATATTTTCTATTAATTTGTCTGATTTGTGTTTCCAGGGAAACGTCTCATTCTTTAAGTCAGAAACGAGCAATGTTTGAACAAACAACAAACAACAACAACAACAATAAAAACACCCCCCAGTCAGGTCCTGCTGACCAGAACTCACATTACCAGAAGAAGATGTGGTCACCGGTGTCCCCCACAGTGCCCGCAACTACCACAACGCCCAACGGCTTGCCAAGCACAGACTCAGAGGTGAGACAATGTTATTGGCAACAAAGAATGTTCACCGAAAAGTCCTTTTTTATGATTTACGTTAAAGTGTTTTCTTCTTGGATTCACGATAATTAATGTACAAAAGGGTAATCAGTGTGTCCGAAGAACTTTCATTTATTTTTACCTGAATTTGGTTGTCACTTGGCCAGAAAGACGAGACTCGAGCTTCAGGCTAGTTGCTGAAGTTTTATACGTGATGTTAGCTATGGGATTTGTTCAGGTTTTTGTTGGAGTCTTTCGAACACAGTCTAATTTTCAGTGCTTGTCCCAAGAGACAACATACATGTATATTCAGGATATTCCTCAATTGTTGCTATAGTAACTGCCCAATTTAAAAAAAGACATATAACAGTTGTCGTGCTGTGATCACTTTGTGAAATGAACCTCAACTGTCTGTGTTTCATCGCAACCCTCTCTAATATGGATTCTGGGGTGGAGTAGCCTAGTGGTTAAAACGTTCACTTGTCACGCCGAAAGACCCAGGTTCAATTCTCCACATGGGTACAATGTGTGAAGCCTATATGTGGTGTCCCCCGTCGTAATATTGCTGGAATAATGCGAAAGGCGACGTAAAACTCAACTCGCTCACTCACTCATGTGGATTCTGGGTGGGTGGGGTAGCCTAGTGGTTAAAACGTTCACTTGTCACGCCGAAAGACCCAGGTTCAATTCTCCACATGGGTACAATGTGTGAAGCCTATATGTGGTGTCCCCCGTCGTAATATTGCTGGAATAATGCGAAAAGGCGATGGAAAACTCAACTCGCTCACTCACTCATGTGGATTCTGGGGGTCGGGTAGCCTAGTGGTTAAAGCGTTCACTTGTCACCGAAGACCCAGGTTCAATTCTCCACATGGGTACAATGTGTGAAGCCTATATGTGGTGTCCCCCCGTCGTAATATTGCTGGAATAATGCGAAAGGCGACGTAAAACTCAACTCGCTCACTCACTCATGTGGATTCTGGGGGGTCGGGGTAGCCTAGTGGTTAAAACGTTCACTTGTCACGCCGAAAGACCCAGGTTCAATTCTCCACATGGGTACAATGTGTGAAGCCTATATGTGGTGTCCCCCGTCGTAATATTGCTGGAATAATGCGAAAGGCGACGTAAAACTCAACTCGCTCACTCACTCATGTGGATTCTGGGGGGTCGGGGTAGCCTAGTGGTTAAAACGTTCACTTGTCACGCCGAAGACCCGGGTTCAATTCTCCACATGGGTAGAATGTGTGAAGCCCATTTCTGGTGTCCCGTCGTAATATTGCTGGAATAATGCGAAAGGCGACATAAAACTCAACTCGCTCACTCACTCATGGGGCAGTTGGGTAGCCTTGTGGTGGAAGCATTCACCCGTCACGCCGAAGACCCGGGTTCGATTCCCAACATGGGTTCAATGTGTGAAGCCCATTTCTGGTATCCTCCACTGAGATAGTGCTGGAATATTGCTGAAAGCGGCATAAAACTGAAACCTGAAACCTGTGCTTATTGTATCTGGCCACTTAATGGTTGATCAGGCTCAGTGACAAGATTGGTTGTATGGACCTCGTTGGTGCTCACAATTTCAACCACTGGTTTGTCTTGTCTGGACTAGACTATTACAGGCCACCGTCCTGTAGCTGGAACCACAAACAAATGGATCATTGTACGTTTATCATTCGTTCATCTAGCTTTCAAGTAGTTTCCAGAAAGTGAGAATTTTCTATTTACTGCTGTTGTAAATAACCCAAGTAAATAAAAACATTCTAGCATGATTTCATCCTGTATTGAAGAAGACTTAGATCATCACAGCCAATCAAAGCAGGGCTACGTTCAATCTAAAAAAATCAGATCTTTGGCTCTTATTTGATAATCCGAACAGACTGTAAATATTTCTTACAGATGCTATGGTGCCCTGAAATGACAGGGCGTTTGACATTTCTGAAACTCTTTAATTCATGGCCTTTATCATTTTCATTTGAAACTGACTTTTAAGTTCATTTTTTGAGATACTGATGATAAAGGATTCTCTTCTTTACTGAAACATTAAAAGGCTTGATGTAAGTTTACAAAATTCTGGATCTTATGGGGAGGTGGGTGGCCTAGTGGTTATAGCATTCCCTCGTCATGCCGAAAACTCTAGTTCAATTTCTCTCGTGTGAAGCCCATTTCTGGTAGGGGCTTTGATATTGCAGGAATATTGCTCAAAGCAGCATAAAATTTTATTCACTCACTCACTCTTTATCTTATGTTAGGGTTGTTAGATGTTCATGCAGAGGGAGGGGCAGCGGGGTAGCCTTGTGGTTAAAGCGTTCGCTCGTCACGCCGAAGACCTCGGTTCGATTCCCCACATGGGTACATTGTGTGAAGCCCATTTCTGGTGTCCCCCGCCGTGATGTTGCTGGAATATTGCTATAAGCAGCGTAAAACCAAAACTCACTCACTCATGCAGAGGGATATCATATGGGAGGAAGATCTGATTTTAATGAGACTGATTTGCATATGCACACCAATTATTTCTCCTTCTCTGATTGGCTGAAGATAATTAAGTTTTCTACAGTTGCTGACTGACTTGACCTGCTCCCAACAACAGGAAGCCATTGAGTCAGAATATATATAGCTATTTATGGAATATAGATAATTGTCTTTATTTTCTGTGATGGTTTGGTTGGAAATCGTTAATTCAAATTTGTGAATCTGAAATATGTCAACGTAACCAAAGACACTTTTCATTTTACTCATCTGTTATATTCTGAAGTCAGTTATGTATATCATAATATCATGGAGTGTTTGGTTGTTCAACGATCGCCTGAGCATACCATCCTCAACAATCTCAAGGGTATACGTTCCGATAAATCTCCACTATACCTGGATGCATCTACGGCTCGGCCCGATGATGTTATTACCTCCCTTTGCTGGCTCTGCATTCTCACAGTAGCCAATCAGATAAGCCGCTGTTACAACCGAGCTTGCCAGTGTCAACAAAGATAGTGGTCGCAGCCGCAAAAGTTTGTTCGCAGGGTGACTCAGATTTGGGGAGAAATTTCAAATTGACAGGTCCGAAACCTTTATAAAATATATGCAAAAACTCCTTCTACCTCTTTCAGAGTACCTCTGCCAATATATTATTGTGTTGCCAAGTTTAATCGGTTAGATAGTTTAAAAGCGAAAGTGAGTTGTGATTGGTACGCTCAACTTCCCAGCGTAGACACCTGATTGGATAAAAAAGCCAACCAAGGGAGGTAATTAGATCATCAGGCCGAGACGTAGATGCATCCAGGGTATAGTGGAGATTTATCGGAACGTATACCCTGGAGATTATCGAGGATGGAGGATACATGATGGAGGTTTATGCAGATCACAGAGAATCATGGGAAATGTTATGAAATTCACGTTATATCTCTTCCAACGTTTCATTAACCACCACTCTTATTTCATTGCACTGTTTTTCTACCAAATATGAAAATTATATTTTTGTAGTTGAAGACATACCTGATAATTAGTAATCATCAATAAAGACGAGTTTCCAGTCAAACTACAGACAGTTACTTATTAATAAGATTTTTCATTTTGGTGTTGTGAATAATAAGATGTGGTTTGGAAAAGTAGATTACTAATATTTTTTTAATTATATTCTTGAAAATAATTCTCATTGTTGTCCTCGACCGATTTCTGGGCATGGGTCCAAATATTTTGCCTGCTTGTAACAGCTTCCTAAAGAGAATTTGGTGGTCTGAGTCAATGAGTCAAAACAATATTTTCTCACATTATGTTCGATCTTAGCATCACAACTATTGTAAGCCTTAGTTTAAGTGTGGGAGTTTGGATCATCTTGGAGCTGAGAACAGTTTGTGGATCAGGGGGCTGGGTCCATATTTTCAAAACACTCTTAGAGCTACGATAGTCGTAAGTTAACGCTGAGAGAGCTTCGAAAATCTAGGAGTACAAAGGAAACTTAGAGCTAAGACTGTTGTATGTCTATGTAAGTCTATGGGAGTTACAACCACCTTAGCGCTAAGATCATTTTGTACAACAGCACTCTGGTCCCTGCTCTCAACAGATCTATACTGCAGCAATTCTGTGGCAAGAACAGTGGTTGTGTGCTACGCGATAATCCGACTAAGTCATTCGTACAGCAGTTCAGCATGCGACACAGATCATTAACCTGTGAAGAATTGGTCTTCAGTAAAAAGGGGTGGTGGGGTAGCCTAGTGGTTAAAGCGTTGGCTCTTCACGCCGAAGACCCGGGTTCGAATCCCCACATGGGTACAATGTGTGAAGCCCATTTCTGGTGTCCCCCGTGATGTTGCTGGAATATTGCTAAAAGCGGCGTAAAACCCAACTCAGTCAGTCAGTCTTCAGTAACCCGTGCTTGTTGCAAGAGGCGACTAATGGGTTTGGGTGGTCAGGCTCGCTGACTTGGTTGACACATATCATCGTGTCTCAATTGCGTAGATCGATGGTCATGTTGTTGATCACTGGATTGTCCGGTCCAGACTGGACTATTTGCAGACTGCAGCTATATAGCTGGAATATTGCTGAATGCATCGTTCAACGACAAAACAACAAACACAGATCATGATCAACCTGGCTTTCCGAAAGCATTGACCAATTATTTCTTTTTCTGCATGAACAGGTGAACGTGAGGGTAAGGATGACACATGCAGGCACACTTCACAAATTTCACTTCATTTTCTCATTTATGAACACAAATTCTCGGGGATGCTAGTTGTTGATAGGGGTAATGACATACAGTTGTAAACAGGACAAATTTCATTTCATTTATCTCATTTATGAACGATAGTGATAGGGGGGGGTAATGACCACGAAATCTCGATGGGTAAAGGCTTCACTTGCAGGCACACTTCACAAATTTCATTTCATTTATCTCATTTATGAACACAAATGCTCAGGGATGCTAGTTGTTGATAGGGGTAATGACCACAGTTGAAACAGGAGTGACGATAGTCTCGTCTCGATGGGTAAAGGCGTCACTTGCAGGCACACTTCACAAATTTCATTTCATTTATCTCATTTATGAACACAAATGCTCAGGGATGCTAGTTGTTGATAGGGGTAATGACCACAGTTGAAACAGAAATGACGATAGTCTCGTCTCGATGGGTAAAGGCTTCACTTGCAGGCACACTTCACAAATTTCATTTCATTTTTCTCATTTATGAACACAAATGGTTAAGGAACAATCAATGGGAGGGGAAGGGGCGATAGTGGAAACAGATAATGACATAACACAAATTATCTGTCATATAATTGCTGAAGCACTGATATCATGAATACAGTTCTCGGCTCACATACACAAACGGATGTTAGTGCTTCAACGGTTGTAACACTCTTTGAAGACTTGAACTAATGAGTACACAATACCGTTTAGACAGTTTTCAGGTGTAACACATTATATTTAGGATTACACTTTATCAATAAGGTACAGATTCTAGAACCTTCTTTGGGCGATCTAACCCACTCAGCCTCTGCAGTTTCCACAGCTGAGTGGGTAAGACGGCTGACTAGGTGCCAGACTCTGAGAGTCTGGGTTCGAATCCCAAATGGGACTCAACCTAACAAAAGTACTAGAATCTGTACTTTACTGAGAAAGTGTAATCCCAAATATAACATATCTTAGTGGGTAATAGTGCTAAGATCACTTTGTGAACATGTTCCTGGGCTCACCTACACAAAGCCAGATAAGTGATCAACTATTGTAAGTCTCTTTAGAAGAATATGACTTGCAATTCATTTGTGAACATATCCCTGGCCCCGCTGCACAAAATGACCTTAGTGATATGCTGTTGTAAGTTTCCTTAAAGAAGGACTTATGGCTGTCATAGCACAAGGATCACTGTATTGAACATTGCTCTGGGCCACGTGCACAAAGAGATCTCAGGTAACAACTGTTGTTAGTGTTGAAGGATGACTTGACATGGTTTGACAAAATGTGGGTCCTTCACAAAGTGATCTTAGTAAAGTACTATTTTCAGTCGGGGCGGTGGGGTAGCGTAGTGGTTAAAGCGTTCGTTCGTCACGCCAAAGACCGGGTTCGTTTCCCCACATGGGTACAATATGTGAAGCCCATTTATGGTGTCCCCCGCCGTGATATAGCTGGAATATTGCTAAAAGCGGCGTAAAACTAAACTCACTCACTCACTCACTATTTTCAGTCTTGGTGACTGGATTGATGGTATTCTTGCCACTAACATCACTTTTTTCAACAAGCTCTGGGCCCTCCTGCACAAAGAGATCTTAGTGGACATCTGTATTAAGTATCTTAGTGGTTGTTAAACTGCCCTAGGTCAGGCAGTGTGACATTTCGACAACCTGACAGACCATGTTTCTCTCCAAAGACTTAATACAGACTAACAGTGCCAGTATTGTCAGCGGTTCTCTAGACCCAGAACACACCGCACTGCTGCACATCGTACCCTGCATGACTGTCGTCTCGGTGTTGTGTAGACTGTATTGTCAGCCATTGAATCACGGTGTTATCTTGCCTCTAGTGTTAGCCATTAAATGATAGTGTTTTGTAGCCTTTGGTGTTTGTCATTGAGTCATGGTGTTGTTTGTCCTCTAGCATCAACCATTGACGATCTGGAATAGATGTTTAAGCTGACCTCATTCTTGAAATGGTCTCTGATCATCCATGCTGTCATCTTGTTCTGATTTTCATCAGCAGCAATAGCTGCAACATTATTATGGCATCACTGGATTGTCTGGTCCAGACTACATTATGTGGGCTGCCATCAAAGAACTGAAATATTGTTTAGTGCTGTCATTAAAAAACAAACAAAAACACTTCAACCAATCATTTCAAAGGTCAAGGTTGTCTCAAGGTCATGGTCTGAAAATTACCATTGCCTTTGTCCCTCCATTAAAACTGCCAAGGATGCTGTCTTCTTCATCCGTCAGAGGATTGTTTTGATATAATCCAGAACTACAATGGTTGATGCTGGAGGTTTTATTGCAATTTAATCTAAGTATGATAATTATGAATACGTTGGCCCAGTGTCAGGTTTTGTGTCTTCTTTATCAAACAGTTGATCATATTGAGTCATGTGAATGTCATGTTCTTTCACTGAAAAGCAAGACAGAGGCCTAGCTTCTTCAATATTCCTGATACCTGTTGTTTAGTTAGGGCTAAATACAGGGGAGACTCCAGCCCACAATATTATATTTTACTGATGACTGCGTCAGAATTCGTCCCGTTATATTATCTGTGCATGTTTGAACTTGATCGCCGGGAAACATGTGCACAGCTGATTGCTATTTCCGGCTCAGATACACACGGTAATCTTAATCCCTGCAAATAATACAATGCCCAGCAAAAACAACTTAGAACTTAAAAGGTAAATAACCTTGTCTAGTGATGTTTAATTGCAAATTTGACGTCTCTACTGAAAAAGTCATCTTCTGTTTTTTGTTCACACGAAGTGATACGATGTTGTTTTCTTACCCCTGGAAAAAAAGTTTGATGAAAGCGTAACCCATGGATAAGACGACCCCCTTCTACAGACTGCTTTTTGGTCCTCAAAATTCGGCTTATAGACGGTCATATACGGTAATCCCCTGAATCTAATGTGGAGACTTACAGACTTGCCTGTTAAATAGCATTCACACAGGGTAGGGTTTCTCAGATTAGGATTCTAGTTCAGACCAAGCAAAGGCAGATTCCAGCCCACAACATAAATCTCCTGGTAGTCATGGCCTGATATGAAGCATATTTGAGTTAATCATGCAAAGCACATTTTTGTAAATAATTAGAAATTTAAACAAACAAACATTGCGACAGCAGGACTATGTATGCTACAGAGCTACAGATACGTTTTGTGTCATTGGTTATGTACTCGCTTGTGTTCATCTCGATTGGGTATCTTTTCTTTTCAGTAACCAAATAAATTGTACCCACCTCACTCAAACTTAATTGGGTATTTTGACATTTTCCATTAATTGTAAAAATATATTTATATTTAAATGTTGGTTTACGTGTTTGTTATATATATAGTTGATCTGTAGTAACAGAAACGCTAAGAAAGCCTGCAAGTTTCCAAGTTCATGTGCTGAAATAGAACCTCTCAATATTTTTCAGTTATTTTATCCATCTACCGGTACGCAAGCTAAGATTTGACATTTGTGTGTGTACACATGTAAGATCAAATTAATTGAGTATTTACAAAAATTCAAGTGTACTTGTACGCTATAGACATAATAGAAGTTGAATATTCACATAAATATTTGTGTAATTTACGCAGATACGCAGCTTATCTGTACCTCTGATGCTGACACAGAGTAGCCCTTTCAGCTTGATTATCCCGACAGGTCTTTCTGTACCTTCTGAAGGGCGGTGGGGTAGCCTAGTGGTTAAAGCGTTCGTTCGTCACACCGAAAATCTGGGTTCGATTACCCACATGGGTACAATGTGTGAAGCCCATTTCTTGTGGTCCCCCCCCTCCGTGACATTGCTGAAATATACTCACTCACTCACTCACTTAATTACTACCACCCAATACCCTTGATCGCTGGTTATCACAGCTGCATGCATCTCGGTCTGCTCTCCTCTAATGTTTAATAGCAGCCATGTTGGAATACAATTGAAATACTTCTCAACACAGTCAAAGTGTTCTCATCATTAACTTATGGAGCATACTGTAAATCTGAAGTTGTTGATAAATAAAACGCCATTTTCATCCCAGTAAGGCGGGGTAGCGTAGTGGTTAAAGCATCGCTCGTTACACAGAAGACCCATGTTCGATTCTCTTCATGGTCTCAGTGTGTGAAGCCTATTTCTGGTGTCACGTAATGTTGCTGGAATATTGCTAAAAGCAGCGTGAAACTACACTCACTCAATCACTCACTCGTGCCAGTAATTTCAGTTAAAAGATAAGTAATATCAAAATGAAAAATAATTGGTTTTCAAATACATTGATCTGAGATATCCAGGCATTTTGTATTGATGTTAGCTAATGTGGTTGTTAAAACAGATAAATAGTGTATGAAACTTGTTTCGGACAGCATGATTTTGACATTGGCATGTTAACGCAAATAACAATTGAGCATGCAATAGTCTAGATAAGATTGAAGGACAGTGCATTTTGGAAGGCATGATATTGGGAGTATTCTTCTCACAAGATCTTATTTCTAGAAGGAGTCAAAAAGAAATCATTCTATCATTTCATAGTATTGTCTTGAATAAACACAAATTTAGTGATCTCTTGTTCAAGGTTTGAATGAATATTTTCTCATTGCTTTGTGCTTGCCTCTGCTTTCTAGCAAGGGTTATCTCCCTTCAAGCCACACAGTGATGTGAGCAGATTAGAGTTATTTCCCTTGCCGGGGAATGACAGTGTAGAGTCAGATGTCACAGAATGGAGGACAAATGAAGCATATCAGCGAAGAAAACGCCCCCTTTCGTCCAATTCCTCCCCGACAATAGCCGCATCCTCGTACAACAGTCTTGCTAAGCTAGTCATTGGGGAGGCGTCCCCGCAGTCACAAAGCAACGTAAGTGCATGTCAGTCATAGCCACGCCCATAGCCACGCCCTTCAGCATGACATAACATAGAGCCCTGTTAGCCTCCAGTGTACTGGACCTAATATCAGCCTAATATTCTTGTCCACCGCCACAATGGCCGGGCGGTTGCCATGGCAACATGATGGACACTAACATCTCAGATGAAGCTGAGAGGTTTTCCAAGCTTATGGCTCATTCAGCTTTTTTAAGTTAGACGGAAATATGATTTATTTTTTTTAAACCAAAATTGCTTTGGGAGGAGGTTTGATAAACATATAGATATACGAAAACCTAGGTGCTGGAAGTAGCCTTTGTATTACAGCTCGCGAAAAACAGTTAACTCACAATTTAGTTTGGGAAGGTGTCTGTGTTCAGTGGTACTCTGGGCATGTTTAATCAGGAACCAATCGTTAATTAATATATTTACCTAGCAAAATAAACTAACACCGAAATGCTTAAGGATATATATCGATATATCCCTGCTAGTATATAGCTCTCTGTATACACCAGTATTATGTATCACTTTCTGCTTATCTATATCAGCATATTAATGACTTATGGAAATTACTATGAATATATATGCATAATTGTAACGAAATTAACAAACACATGCATATGCACATATACACATATGGTTCTAATGTGTTCTGTTTCAGCTTTAGTTTGAGTAATTCTTTTGTTCTTGTTTTTGCTTTGTTATTTTCTTTTTATTTAGGAATTAATCTTGTAAAGAGTGGAGATATTGCTGACATTGCATTTTCTCACAAACTGTCTTTGTGTGGTAAATTTTATCATGATACAAAAGACTTTTTATTGTCTTGTTATCATGTAGAATTAACTGATAATTTACTGATTTTAAAATTTGATTATCTCAATTTTGATATGGCAGTTTTGTATTAAATATTACAGCATTATGTATCCAAAATTCAATTCAAAGTTATTCAAAATTGACTATTTGATGTTCAAGGGGACACTGGATATTTTCTAAATTTTCATATATTCTAAATTTATAACATTTCAGAAATTGTGGAAAAATTATTTCACCTCTGATTTAATAACATTGGTAAAAATATTACATATGCTGAAAATTTTGTTAAATAAGTGGAGTCGAGAAAAAAAGAAATTCGGTGGCAGAGCCCGGGGAAATTCTATGTTTTTCCTGTAGACAGTTTGTGAGTGTTTCCAGGAATCACCATTACCTGTTGTAGTGTATAACTGTAGTATGGATTTGTCATCTTGTTCCCACAGAGCAGAGATTTAAAATATATTATATATGTAAAATATAATATAAAATACAGTTTCTATTTTGACCTTTTAATGTAATTACTAAGAAGGCAGTTTACAATATCGTTTTGACCAAAGAGAAATGTTGAAAATATATGTCAATTTTACTACTCCTTTGACAAATCAGCCCATACTTTCTAGAAATATTTCTCCTTTATCTTCCGACCGTGAAAATCCAAGTCTGAATTCGTCTTCAGCAACCCATGTTTGTCATAAGAGGCGACTAACAGGAACGGGTGGTCAGGCTCGCTGACTTGGACAATGGTTGACACATGTCATCGTATACCAATTGTGTAGATCGATGCTCATGCTGTTGATCACTGGATTGTCTCGTCTAGACTTGATTATTTACAGACCGCTGCCATATAGCTGGAATATTGCTGAGTGCGTCAACAAACAAATCCTTCATCTTCCCCCAAATCACCAACTTCCCCAACTTCCCTCACACAACTGAAAAAACTATATAAAAACAGTGAAAACAATCTCTCTCACACACCCATTTTCCCAAAAGAAACATTCACTGCTGAAAGATGAATGGATAAAAACACAATACATTAATGACGTATATTCTATGTTATTTTGGGCAGTGGGGTAGCCTAGTGGTTAAAGCGTTGGCTCGTCACGCCGAAGACCCGGGTTCGAATCCCCACATGGCTACAATGTGTGAAGCCCATTTCTGGTGTCCCCCGCCGTGATGTTGCTGGAATATTGCTAAAAGCGGCGTACAACCAAACTCAGTCAGTCAGTCAGTCTATGTTAATTTCTGGTTCTCCTCCCCAAACCTCCCACCTCGATACCCTTCATTGGTACAATGTGTGAAGACCACATCTGGTGTCTCTCATCTGGAGTATTGCTAAAAGTGGCATAATACTATACCCACTCACTCCAGCTTTCAGATGTTTTAGAGGTTAATATCTGTGAAGAAGTAATGAAATTGGTCAAACTTTAGATACAAAAATAATTCCATTAAAGAAAATTATCCTCAGGAGAATTCCAGGAAATGTTTCTTCATTGTTTGATTATACTGTAGATAGTAATGAGGATGTTACACAAATGTTTTACATCTCTGCTCGACCGTAACCTTTACATCACCCACTGTTCTGTCGCTTGCTTGAGTCTGTCACCATGGCAACGATCGCTCTCTATTTCTCTGGCTTGTAGAAAATCCACTTGAGAAAAGTGTGGCATATGCAGCCAAGCACCATCTCCCCTTGCCCACCGACTGACCATAACGGCCATAACTTTCACAATGACATAGAGGTATGTATGGCAGGGCCTGCTCTCATTGGTCGAAAAATTTGAAGGAGGAAATCTGATTGGTGGAATTTTTTATTTCATACTGACTGCTGCTCAGGAGTTATGGGTAGTATTGTCTTGATCAATATAATGGTAAGTAGTTGTTGAAATGGGGGAACCAGAATCAGTGTAATCATTGCCTGGATGTTTCACCAAGAAATACATTGGGTAGAAGTGCTTATTATGTTAAATTAGGTAATTTGCTTTGGTTTTGGAGATGTCAGTACTTTACAGGTTTATATTCACTTCCTTCCTCAATTGGGCAGTGGGGTAGCCTAGTGGTTAAAGTGTTGGCTCGTCACGCCGAAGACCCAGGTTCGAATCCCCACATGGGTACAATCTGTGAAGCCCATTTCTGGTGTCCCCCGCCGTGATGTTGCTGGAATATTGCTAAAAGCGGCGTAAAACCAAACTCAGTCAGTCAGTCAGTCCTTCCTCCATTACCCAAGAGTACATGGTTGGTTGGTTTGTTGTTTTACGCCGTACTCAGCAATATTTGAGCTATATGGCAGCGGTCTGTAAATAATCTAGTCTGGGCCAGACAATCCAATGATCAACAGCATGAGCATCGTTCTACGCAATTTTGATGTGACGACGTGTGTGAACCATATAGTCAGCAAACCTGACCACCCGATTCCGTAAGTCACCTCTTACGGCAAGTATGGGTTGCTGAAGACGAATTCTATCCCAGATCTTCACGGGTCAAGAGTACATGGGGCTGATACATGGTGTAGCAGTAACTGTTTCTGGTCGAGTAATGAAATCAAGGCTTGTTTTACTCATACAAGAGAGGCCCAGCTCGTACATGGATTTTGTACAAATCCTGTCTTTGCCTGATTTTAACGTAAGACATCTGCAAGGCTCTGGTTGAGGTAGAGAAATTGTCATTTATTCGATATGATCGGAGTGCTATCTAAAATGAAGATTTAGATTAGAACTGGTCCCAAGAAACCAATGATTGTTCCCAGTGAGGATCCATGTTAGAATTGGTCCCCAGAATTTGTGTAGAGATGAGCGGTAGGCCTTATCCCCATCCTTGTCGTAAGAGGTGACTAACGGGTGGCCAGGCTCGCTGACTTGATTGAAACACGTCATCGTATCCCAATCGCGTAGATCGATGCTCATGATGACAATCACAGGATTGTCACATCCAGACTTGATTTTATGACAGACTGCTATCGTGTAACTGTTAAACAAAACAAACTTTCTGGTTTCCCTCTGACTTGAATCAGGCTGTTATATGATTGGTTGGTTATAAATAGCAACTACATCACGTGTACCCTGTAACGGGGTTAATGGTGGAAAAGGGCAGTGGGGTAGCCTAGTGGTTAAAGCGTTGGCTCGTCACGCCGAAGACCCGGGTTCGAATCCCCACATGGGTACAATGTGTGAAGCCCATTTCTGGTGTCCCCTGCCGTGATGTTGCTGGAATATTGCTAAAAGCGGCGTACAACCAAACTCAGTCAGTCAGTCAGTTAATGGTGGAAAGCAGTGTATACAAAATCCTAAAGTGTCTAAGGTGGACAAACTGTTGAATTAACCGTCTGGCATGATACTAATAGCTCAGTGTGTGTCGGCATCCTGAGGATGTTGCTGAGGCGAGATTCTTTGGGATTATTTCCTTGTACTCTTAACATTTGTGACAAATAGTTGAGAAATCATTTGCATGTTGAAAATGGAAGCTGTGCAAAATTCTGTCAGATATGGTATGAACATTTTTGACAGTATGGAAGTGAATGTTTGGATTGAGAATCAGTTGCCAGGTTACTGAGCTTGCAACTAAAATGTGTATTTATTTGTATTGTTACATGACACCTGGATGACACCTTTTTTATGAATAATGACCTGAGTGATGTACTAACGGGCATGAGAATGAGTATTTGGTTTTATTATATGAAAAAGTAAATGTCCAGTGTTGGATATTAGGAGTGAATCAAACACTGACATGTTCATTTGTATGTGACCCATGATGGTCCGGGTTAGAATATTGATCTCAGTAACCCATGCTTGTCGTAAGAGGCAACTAACGGGATCGGGTGGTCAAGCTCGCTGACTTGGTTGACACGTGTCATCGTATACCAATTGCTCAGATCGATGCTCATGCTGTTGATCACTGGATTGTCTGGTCCAGACTCGATTATTTACAGTCCGCCGCCATATAGCTGGAATATTGCTTAGTGCGGCGTAAAACTAAAACTCACTCACTCACTCACTCATTTGTATGTACTAGTATTTAAAATACTTTAAAAAAGTTTTGAGACCATCCCTAAGTTTGAATAAAGCAATCATTTTATTTTTAGTCGATAGTAATTTTATGTAAAATTCTTCAAAGGTTTTGAGACTATCCCTATGTTCAATCACAGTTCGGTGATCTTTTAGTTTTCATTTTACGTTTTCATTTATTGCATTAAGCGGTCAATGTCAATGTAAACTTTCTATAGATATGAACATTTTCAAAGGTTTGAAAACCATGCCTAGATACATCTATAAACCAGTGCGATATGAGCTGTTACAATCAGTATTCATTATCCAATCAGAGTCAAGGTTATATACTGTGTGATGGTACACAATCACAGCCCATGGTTTCATTAGCCAATCACAGTCAGTGTTTCATTGTCCAATCAGTCAAGGTCATACAAACTGACATTTCAATCATCACAGCCATAGTTGCATTAGCCAATCACAATGACAGTCGTGTCAACCAATCTGATGCTGTATTTTCAGCTGAAGAAAGCCTACTTCCGGCAGCAAGAGGAGCTGAACAGTCTGAAGGAGCAGCTCCGGTTGAAAGACAAGCGGATCACGCAGCTCGAAGACGAGGTGCAGAGACTCCGCACCGGAAGCGGAGATCAGGGCGAGAGTAACTGTTGATTCATGGGAGATGTGTCTGAATTCCACAAACATGTTATTTCCATGGAAACGTAAAGATCACGTAGGAACTGTATCTGTCAGTATGGATGTTTCCCAAGGGATGCTAGTGAACATCAAATCATATATCGGGTAGATTTACTTCCTGGGTTACGTTTATTCTGATGATGCTGACGAATCAGTTATTGAAAGACTTGTTGCCTTTGTGATGTCACGGAGATGGTGGGCAGGTTCACCATCATGAAAAGGGCGTGGCATTTATTATTCACTAAACCATCCTCTCATCAACTGTTGATTGGATAATGAGCTGTCAACTCCTGTTATAGATACCAAGGGACTTTTGTAATGACTTTCTGTTATAATCAACTCTGTCATGTCCACCTTGTTAATCTTACTTTCCATATCCAATTTTGTTGCTTTCTAATGTCATTCAGGGTTTTGTTGTCCCAACATCATGAGGTTTGAATCTTAGACTTGCTTAAGACTTGACACAGGCTATGGATACCGATCCAGCTTTGGAGAACCGACATTAGAGAAGTGTGATCATAATGAGCAGTTCGTACATGCTTCAGACACTGTAGAATCACCGAAAATTATTTTTGTTTTGTACTTGTAGGACAGAACGTGATTGCAAATGTTTTGAAAAGTACACCTTGGCCATTAGGGTCACAACACATACACTGGTCCGCTTTGTGAATGCTCAAAGACATAATAATTGGAATCATGACATGGACAGGCCCTCATTTGGCTACCTTTCAAATAGCAGAATATTTGAGTTGAGAATGTAATCTGGTTTGTCGGTTTCATGCGAGTTATCTGTGGGAAAGTCATTGTTTTCTGGCCTGTGTGGGTAGCTACTTGAAAATTGTACTTGTGCCTTTTCGACCATGTGGATCAAGGTTAAAGTGGGTCAAGGTTAAAGTGTGAAGATCAAGGTCATTGGTTTTGAAGGTCAAGATCATTGGATACGAAGGTCAAGTGCATTTAGTGTGAAGGTCAAGGTCATCTGGTGAGAGATGATCAGGGATGTGATTCACTTGGAAAAATCATTCGACTCCATGATGGGCTGAGATGTAGGCGTTCCTCTGTAATGAAGCTCCGTGATACCATACAAACATCAATATTTTGTCATGTGAACTGTTTCAGGTGTTTTGACATAATACAACATATAGAACTCCTGTTAAGCTCAGTGCATGTGAAAACGGCTCAACAGCATCTTGTATATTAAGAATGTTTGCTGGCTTCAAGAACTGCTTTCAGAATAAATCACAGGAAAAAGACAGGAAAGATATTGGATACTCATTTTTAAAAAATAATGTTTTTACAGCAGTTGTCACGATTTCAGATTTATACAAACTTGTAAACAAGATAATTTACCCCCTGAAATGTACATGAATTCTGCATCGGCCCTCATATCTATTCCTCATATGACGTCACAGAGACGCGCCGCTCTGATTGGTTGTAGTGACTGTAACACCACATTGCTCAGGAGTCCCGGTCCCTGGGAGCAATTGTGCTTAGTAAGTCAATGGGTTCGATCTAACCATCGCACGTAGTGACCTTGGTAGTTATTGACCTACCTTGTCGTTGCTTCCTACGGATGTAGAAGTGTTCGACAATCTCGCATGCTGACCTCTACTCCATGGAGCAATGGCATCAGTGTAGTGAGTCCTTCCCGATTTCCTTATGGATTTCGTAGAGTTCAAGCTCCTAAGTACCTTAGCACACCTTTGTGACCTAACTGTGGTAAGTAGTGGAAGTCATGTGATGATGTTTTGGTACTGAACGTTAAACTTGTGTGTTTTCCGATTCAGTTTCCTTTTCCCCTCTTCGTGATGGGGTCTGGGGGGCTGTCTCGAAGCAGGTGCGGCCCTGATTACTAGTCGTAATTACGGGGGTACTCTGATAAATCGTGGTGAAGCAAGGTAACTTGCCTGTTTTCCTAGTATGCGAGGGTTGCTTGCACCACATTGCTCAGTAAGCCAAGAGGTTCAGGAGCACTATGCCACTTTTGGGAGCGATGATGCCTAGTAGAGGTACTATGCTAGTCAGAGAGGTTCAGGAGAACCTGTCATCACTTCGGGTAATCTGAGATCAACCAGAGAGAGAAGTGCAAATCATGAGATATGATAAGTATATAAATATACAATTTATATTAAAATTTTCAAATCTCTTCTCCATTATCAGAGTGTAAATATCTCAGTATTTCCGTTGGCCCTTTGCTGACATTGATTAAAGTTCACCTGGAAGGTTATTGAACTTTGCTCTCTTGAATCACAGCATATTTTTAAGTGGGGGGGCGCGGTAGGGTAGCCGAGTGGTTAAGGCGTTCGCTCGTCACGCCAAAGACCCAGGTTCGATTCCCCACATGGTTACAATGTGTGATGCCCATTTCTGGTGTCCCCTGCCGTGATATTGCTCGAATATTGCTAAAAGCGGTGTAAAATTAAACTCATTCACACACTTTTATTCCCAAATGACAATTTGAGGAACCTAAATGTTTCAGTTATGAAGAATTTGGCATCACAACTACACACTCCACTACTACTTACATGTTACTGAATATCTCGGTACAATGATCTGAAAGATTTGTAAAACGTTATTTTTTGTTAATATTTATGCTTTATACCTGTAAGCTGTGACGTGAAGCCAGACTCTCACTATTGCCCCGTGCTTGCTGCAAATGATTGGACGCTTCCTGAACTCCTAGACAGGTGTTTCTGTACATACTGTTACTGTTTGTTTTTAGTGATACAAGGTAGATTTTGTTACGAGAATTTGTTCAGAAAATATATCAGTAAATCTCTTTCCGTTTTGCCTTTTGTGAAGTGTTTGTCTCACGAGGCGACTGATTGTGATCAAAATGGCTGCAGTGTTACTAGTGCTTTAAATCGTGAATCGAGAGAAGATTGTAGTTGTCTTTTCCGTGTCCTTCTTGTGTTGAAGTGTTCTGTAAACTTTCTTTGTATGGCTTCATGGCAGATATATCAGCCATGATTATCTGATAAAAGGATAAAAATCCCCAATGGTATATTACTTTTTACCCTTACACTGCAAAGATATTGTCCATATAACATCCAGTTTCTGCTGGCTAATACTACACATCATAAAGGTGTCCCAGCTCAAAGACAGGAGTTAACCAGTCTGTGATGTTTCCATTGCACAATGTGTCTTTAATTATGATGGATTGACTTTCAGTTAGACAGCAAAGAGCACAGACAAAATATGTTTTATGTCAAATTATAAAACTGTTTGAGTCAATCTATATATTTTCTGTTACAATACTCTCCCAATTCTGTAAGGTAGATTTGTAGTAGACTTGTTCTCGAATCAGATAGTTACAGATTTCATAAATGAACTATTTTGATAGTGCAAATACCTGCATTCACTATTTTAGTGGATATCTGCTGTCAACCAGTGTCAGAAATGCTACAGTCTGTTCAAAATGAATATTTTTGAGATCACAGAAGACATTGTTATGTATACAGTGATAATCTGTTGATGTTTATGATTGGTATCATATATATGTTGTTTGTTTTTTTAACTCCTGTTAAAGGAATCTTGGTTGGTTTGTTTTTAAATCAGAATATCCAAGTAGAGCAATTACATGTACAAAACCTGTATTTATCACTTTAACTCTTGTATATAAACACTATCACTTGGCATCCGTACTTAGTGCTCATTGCTACCCTCTGAAGCCTAAATAGGAATGGTCGACACATTGTTTAGGAAGAGTTCATTGTGTCAGATGGGGTTGTAAACATGGTGAGTCAGCTGATTGAAGTGTCACAACAATAACTGGAAAAATATAACATTTGGACAGTGACTATCTCACAATATGAATTCATCAAAAGGTAACAATACAAGGATTTAAGAAACTTTATTTAAAACATCGACAAGGAATATAATTTGGCAGGAAAATAATATGATTGTTTTGTTTCCATGAGCAGGAGAATTGAACACTTGCTGTCACTTTGACATGAATAGCCATTATGGATTGATCATTCCATGCTACACTGATTATATGCCTTGCACAGGGGAGGTAACTCCCGACAATCTATGTTGTTTGTGGTATATATTACACTTTTTCTGGACACTTTTAAGAGCAATAGATTCAATAATCATTCTGGGATTCGGTAAAATTTTATCTGTGTTCAAAGACAAATTGCATTTGGTATTAACTGGAATTCAACATTTGATGAAATTCTGCACTTGAGTGGGAACATTATACAGCAATATTCTGAAAAGGCCACAATGGTAAACTATTACCCATGTTAACACTATTGCCACAAATGTACCATTTCATAATCTGTAAATTAATGATTAAGTTTCTTAAAGCTTTCATTGAAGGAAGGGTCATGAAGAGGTTAAAGCATTCACTCGTCATGTGGAAGACCCAGGTACAATGTGTGAAGCCCATTTCTAGTGTCCGCTGCCGTGATGTTGCTGGAATATTGCTAAAAGCGGCGTAAAATTTTACTCACTTACTCCCTCAAAGTGGTCTGAGGTGTTGTAATTCACCATGTGGAGTTGCGTCCCTTCACTGCCACAGGATCATGGTCCTGTTTGGATCTTATCCTCATCCATGATATGGCCATTCTTATTGGTTTCACCATGGTGTATGGCTTGTAGGACTTGAAAATGTGACCATAGCTTGTATTTAGTTTCTGGAGACATATGCAAAATGAAATTTTGCGAATGATTAAATTTTACCGAAACCTCAAAATCGACAACCATCCAAAGTTGTATTGTACAGATTATCCCTTGTTTGTAGATACCAATCTTGTTGCTGTTGTTTATGATAATCCTTACATTGCTCTTTCCATTCTCGCAGAAGCATGTTTGTTATAGGACTCACAGAGTCACGTGATTCGGTAATTTTGGGTCATTTTGTATTTGTGTTGTATTGCTGCAGTAGACGAACGCCAAAGTCGGATCTTCGTTAGTATTTCATTGGTTCCTTACACTATTTCCTTTATTGCCCATGAATACATGCAGCTTTGTGAGGGAATCGGTAGGTGGTAATAATATTTTGGCTTAAACGTTGAATTTAAGAATTATCTGGTTTTGCGATTGTTTCTCAAAAACAATAACCAGTGTCCATATGATGCCCAAGCCCTGAGTGTTCTGCAGTGGGGACTAAAGGGATCGGGTGGTCAGGCTCGTTCACTTGTCACCGTATCCCAGTCACATAGATCGAAGACCCGGGTTCGAATCCCCACATGGGTACATTGTGTGAAGCTCATTTCTGGTGTTCCCCGCCGTGATATTGCTGGAATATTGCCAAAAGCGGCGTAAAACCAAACTCACTCACTCACTCACTCACTCACTCACTCACATAGATCGATGCTCATACTGTTAATCACTGGATTGTCTGCTCTACACTCCATTATTTACAGACTGCCGCCATATAGCTGGAATATTGCTGAGTGTGGCGTAATACTAACTCTTCTGCAATGTCCCCCGAAAATTAACATCTGGACATCAAGGACAGACATTGATCAGGCTCACAGAACTGACTGTCATGGCGTACACAACCACGATTGGGTAAGGAAGCAACGTAGTGTGTAAGGACCAGTGAGCTAACAACGATTATGTCTGACACATTATCACTTTGAAAAAATTGTTCTGTCAATGAAGTTGCTGTTTTGCCACTATGAAAGGTTACGTTATGCAAATTGAAATAATGCTGTTTAGTTTTTAAACTTTATTCTTGCCACTTAAAAGCAAAAGCGGTATATATACTGAACAAAAAAGTAAGTAGTCATGAACAGAGGTAAGGATATTTTAATGACGTAAACAAATCATCCCAAAATATTCATGATCAGGGACCTTTTTGTTCGGAATATATACCTGTGTAAATCAGGAAAATATTTGTACATGAAATAGAAATTTAATATTTTTACAGAAAAATTGGACACGTTATTTCACGAACTGCCTTGAGTAAAACCTTGCCTTTGTGAGAGTAGAATGTAAAGTGCAATTTGATAATATGCAATCATGGTACTGAAGGGGAACCTGATACAGATGCTTGTTCAGGGCCCAGTTTCCAAATAAGGTCGAGATTAATTCTCACCGCTGAATTCAGTTTCAGGGCCTGTTTGATATGTATGGGAGCCCTGATCAAGCATGTTTAATTCCAGATTGGGTCTGCGGCAGGTTTCTGCTAGTTTGCTTCTGTTTTTTTGCATGTATAAAAATCTAGTCTGCATGTGTCTACATTGTAAATTTTCTGATCAGCATGTTGCATCCATTATTAATAACATTCTCTGAAATATTTTCCACAATATTCGGTGAAATCCTATATAAATTGGATGAATATATTTCCTGTGGT